GGGGGGGGGGGGGGGCGGGGTGAGACTAATCGAAGTGAGATGCATGACACAGATAACATGCAAATTAAATTAATCATGCAATTATTCAAACTGCCCTATTGAATTTCATAAATAACTTTAAGTAATCTCAAATTAAACAACTTAGAAAATTGTGCAAGTTAAGAAATTACAATTTTCCCAGCTCCACTACCAGAGATCTGAAAAAATTGGCTTGCGTTCAAGTGTTACAATACATAAAAAAGGAAGAAAAGAAAAATGGTATGAGCCATTGCCAGTTCAGCCAATTGCCCAGGCCTGTATGAAGGAAAAGGTTAAATCAAAGAAGTCAGTCAGCCCAGCCCAGTCATGCCCCAACTTCAAAACTTGTGTAGAAGCCAAAAAACAGAAGAAAAAAGGTACGAGAAAGGAGAAAGAGGCAATGGGATGCAGACGAACCAACAAAGACCCAAACGAGCCATAAAGTGGCAATCCCAGCAAAGAGAATAATCTCTAGAAGAAGAACAAGAAGCAGAAGAGGGAGACTGGCAGTGGCTCTGATTTTGCATTTATGGTTTCAACTTTTACCTTGTCAATGTGAATTCATCTGTGTACTGTGGGCTCATGCATGTGTTGCGTTGTTCTCATTTCCTACCTTGTCGTCTTCCTCTTCTGCTTTTAGTTGGTTGTTTCTGATGACAAATCAGTCGAGTCAGTTCCGAGTTGGGCTGCATCAACCAACTTGAATCCCAGTCCACCAATTCAATTGATTGTCTCCGAGTCAAGACCGATTTGAGTAAGATTCGTAGAATAAGTGTAACAGGTATGTTATCAGTTTGGTTCTGGCCGAGTCAACTCCAACTTGGCCTCTACTTTGAACCTTGGATGCAGCACAATGTGTGTGATATTGTCTGTGTTGGATTACCCTCACGTTTTAAAACACACAACAGTGGTTTAGGGCGAGTATCTATAGGTAGAGAGCACGATCCTGCTCTAGCTGGGCAATAGAGGACATGTACATAGACCAGCAAGCACCTCACCTCACATCACCCTACTCACAAGATATGTTCGAATATTGGACTATATTAGTTACATAGTAGTAAAAATTTGCTCTAACTTAAGCAATCATACTAGCCTATAAATAAAGCAGAACTTTTGGGGGTCGTTAAATTATATTTAATTTCCTTTGTTGTTTGACATCGTCAAGATAATTGTTAATCCACAATGGAGAGAAGGATCTCCAGAGCGTCACTATCAACTCAAACTTACATTTTGCCGATCACCAAGTGAGCTCATATCGACATGAGGATATCTCTTTTCGATTGTGGAAGTTAAATGTGAGAAAAAGTGAACAAAAAGAGTAAACAAAAATGTAAATGTGGACAATACTCGGGTTGAGATGCTGCGTTGACCAGGTTCAACCCGAACCTTTCCCGACTGGTATAAATGGCGTTTTGCTGAACCAACCCAAAACTACTAAAACTAATCCATCCACATTTCTCCTGTCTTTTATATTCTCCCACACCTCCAGAAGTTCAGCCTTCCCCCAACTTTCTAACAGATCTCTCTCTCTCTCACACACACACACACCCCACACAGACATACAGGAGCTCAGACTTCTCCGGTTATTCCCTCAACCCCTCTCTTTATCTCTTCCCACGAATTTGTCGGCGTTCTATCTATCTATCACTCCCCCACTGGAATTGGTCTCTCTATCTCTTAACATTTTTGTGGGTTGGCGGATCTAGCGGAGCAATGCTCGAGTTTCTGTGGGTTTGGATCTGGTTAAGTGAGGCCCATATATTATAAAAGGGAGGAGCCACGCCACACCTTTCAATATGTGATCTCTCTCTTAAGTTAACATATCGCATATGCATCTGTTATGTATTTGAGTAGTCTCGAACATGGAGGATGAGGTGTTTGTTGNCCACGCCACACCTTTCAATATGTGATCTCTCTCTTAAGTTAACATATCGTATATGCATCTGTTATGTATTTGAGTAGTCTCGAACATGGAGGATGAGGTGTTTGTTGAGCTATTTGAAAGAATTCTGAAAATCAAGTGTAAGATCTAGAATTAGTTGACTGTGAGTATAAAGTGCTTGGATAACCCAAATTAAAACTCACAAATTGTGCCCAAATGAACCCAAGTTATTCTACCCGTGTCAAAAAGCCAAACAAGAGCAATACCTGGATTGAAAAGAGTGGGTTGAATTCAAATTTGAGTTGANAAAGTGCTTGGATAACCCAAATTAAAACTCACAAATTGTGCCCAAATGAACCCAAGTTATTCTACCCGTGTCAAAAACCCAAACAAGAGCAATACCTGGATTGAAAAGAGTGGGTTGAATTCAAATTTGAGTTGAGCTCTGTTTGAGGGTTTAATAATTTGAGCTTAGCCTGTGTTGACCTCTCAATCCGCTCATGTTATACCCTTGCAATAGATTAGGGTGGGTTCTACTTCAACCATATGCATATTCACCTATCCTTTCGTACATATATCTAAACATGCCCCATTCTGTTGACCCTTCCAGTGGAAAAAACTAGAGAAATTTCCCCACCCCCCGCAGGCAAAGTCAATCTTATTTTATGTAAAACATTCCCAATTTTTTTAAAAAAAGGTTTTATGACGCTTAATTGAGGACAAACAAAAGTTTAGTTCACAAATGTGTTAATAAAAGAGACATACAAAGTTGCACAAACTATCAAGGTATTAAACTAATAGATCATACAATGAAATTTTGAGAGATCATAATCGAACAAAGGTTAAGTTTGAAACAACAGTACCTAAGAATCAGTTTAGATTTATCCCTAGGAATCAACAATAGAAACTACATATTTAGTTCAAAGACTAATGGCGCGGTATAGGGAAAAGAACAAGGATTTACTTAGGAGACTAATGACAAGGTACAGAGAGAAAAATAAGGACCTTCACAAGGTTTTTATAAATTTAGAGAAGGCATATGATACAGTTCAGAGAGATATATTACGGAGGGTTCTAGAGAAGAAAAATGTTATTGTTATGTATATTAATGTTATTAAGGATATATATGAAGATCCAATGACTTCAGTGAGAACAATAGCAAGAGAGACTAATAAATTCCCAATTACGATAGGTTTACAATATTACATGAAGTTTCTACTTGGAGTCCATATCTTTTAGCGTTGATTATGAATGAATTGAACAAGCACATTCAGGATAAGCTCCCATGGTGTATGTTATTTGCGGACAATATTTTATTAGTTGATGAAGTATAGAAGAAATTAATAATAAACTAGAAATATGGCAAAGAGCTTTAGAATCAAAAGAATCTAGGATAATCAAATATCAGGATGTTGTAAAAATTGAAGAGCAAGAGACACCAAAGAGTGAATACTTTAAATATTTAAGGTTACATTTAAAATGTGAGATTGGCGATGATGTTACTCATAAAACTAATGCAGAATGGACTACATGGAGAAATGTATCCCGTGTATTGTGTGATAGACGTAAGCCCCTTAAGGTAAAAGAAAAGTTCTATAAATCAGTCATAAGAAACAACATATGAAAAAATTGAGTGTGGCGGAGACTAGAATGTTAAGATGAATATGTGGTAAAATAATAAAAAATATAATTAGAAACGAATATATCTATGAAAAAAATAACGGTAGCACATATAGGAGACAAGTTAAGGGAAAATAGACTTAGGTGATTTTGACATATTTATAGACAATCTACTTGGGAACAAGTGAGGGAGGGTGATATGATAGCTATTCACGGTAAACACACGGGTAAAGGAAGGCCAAAATTAACTTTAAATGAAATAAAAAAGAAAGATATGATCATTTATGATTTGACTGAAAACATTACCTCAATAGAGTTCAATGGTGAACCACGATTCATGTAGCCGACCCCATAAATGTTAGAACAAGGCTTTATTGAGTTGAGTTGAGTCAATAAATATTCTATTTATGTGGTATGTTGTCCTCCTTGCATAAAAAAAATTATTATTGAAGGGTTTTGGACTAAATAGAAATGGAGATTAGTAAATGCGTGAACGATTAATTTGGATATAGTCTCCATATAAAGCTTTACATAGAGTTACTGATTTGAGCTACATGGATTTAGTGATTGTAGGAGATGGCATGTATTAACCCATTTATTAAATTAGTAGACGAATTCCACTTAAGTTCTGATTTTCAGTTCCATATTTTGGTTTCCTTTTTACTGGCATTTTTTTTTTTCAAGAGTTTTGTCAAGGACATAAAACAAACTAAGGAACTATAATTTGTAAGTCAATCAATTCAACCATAACACAATAATAATGTTCAACTAGGACTAAAAGCATGGAATAAAAATTTTATCAGACACTGGAATAATTACCTCCTCAGCAACATATAGAAAGAAGTTGACAAGGTCACCGGGAACACCAGGAAAACGAGCTCGTAATTCTTCTCTCTGGATTAGTATGATTGCGGAATAAAAATACAAACATGTCCAAACATGTTATTAGAGAGAACAGTGAATGCAAAATCAATATAACGCAGTAATCCTTATTACCTGACTAGCAACACCAACTGGACAATTATTCGTGTGGCAAATGCGAGCCATGACACATCCAGTAGCAATCATTGCCACAGAACCAAATCCATACTCATCAGCACCCATTGTTGCAGCCATTAGGACATCAACTCCACTTTTGAATCCACCATCAACTCTGAGAATGACCCTTTCTCGAAGTCCATTTTTGATAAGTGTCTGCCGGTGGTTATTGCAGGGAAAACACAAAAAGAATCTACATGAATACTGATAACATTAAAATAAGGAATGGGATGATTCAATTCCAAGGAGTATAAACCTGATGTGATTCAGCAAGTCCAAGTTCCCAAGGACCACCAGCATGTTTAATGGAACTTATGGGGCTGGCTCCAGTACCTCCATCATGCCCTGATATCTGCAAATTAGGTTAGGCATATCAGTTGCAACTGTTGGCCGTGTTCTTGGTAAATAGCAGCATATATTGGTATGTCTGCAGTTGAATATTTCCAGTGAATTTATAAATGTGGTTGGAAAGTATCTGACAAATGCAGAACAATTTTAACTAGTTAAAAAGAATAAAAAAAAATGTACATATACATGTTTCAATGACCTGAATATATGAAACTAGAGTTACACAAAAAAATGGCATCTTTAAAGTCAGATCGCCAATGCTAAAAACAATAGTGGTTCTGGTTCAAAAATTTGAGTTGACAACAAAATCAAAGACCAGACATATAGTTCAATTATTAACAAGCAGAGTATATTTAACATTGCCAAAATTCAAGATATCACCCTCGACATTAAAAATTAAGAAGGAATATGTAGCAACCAACACACCCTTGTTGAAATGTCATCACTGTATAGGGCTACGTTCATAGACAACAAAGTCCTAAAAAAAGTTTAAACCCCTTTTTTTATCATTTACTGTAGGAAAGCAGCAATTACCTTCCAAATTTAGTTAGATTGTAAAGTTTTAGGGAATTACGACATTGTGCAGAAAGTAGTGTGTTAAGTCACCCAACTATATCACAGACTAAATACAAGCAATTATACAAAGTACTGAACACCTCCAAACTGAAAATAAAGGAAAACATCAAAATTTTGTACAAATGCCATTAAGGAGCCAATACGTATGATTTGACAGTAGCTTCCTTCAAAAATTAGCACTGAATTAGAATATAAGTCAGGGATTATTCAGTCTTTGGGTTATATGAGCTGTGGTGAAGTATGATCAGGTGGCTATTAAATCGTATCCAGGACAATAATAAGAAATGACTGACACCCACCAAGTAGAAGGCGCCTCAACAAGTAGAATGGGTTAAAACCAGCTTCGTTTGTTTTTATGGCTTTTTAACTTCAACCCATTGTTGTATCCATTATTCAAAACGAGAAAAGAAAAGAAAAAAGAAAAAAGAAAAAACTTTGATCCCTCGCTAAAAGGCATGATCCGGCATCTCTTNCTTTGATCCCTCGCTAAAAAGCATGATCCGGCATCTCTTTCCACATATAAAAGTTGGAAGTTTCACTGCCCATTATANGAAAAAACTTTGATCCCTCGCTAAAAGGCATGATCCGGCATCTCTTTCCACATATAAAAGTTGGAAGTTTCACTGCCCATTATACCTGTATAACATCAGCATTACCCTTTGCAACCCCAGAAGCCACTGTACCAATTCCAGCTTCTGCCACGAGCTTTACAGATACCTTAGCCTTAGGATTAACCTGTTTAAATTGAAAATAACAGTTCATGACTAATTTCTCAGGGTAAACATCTCTGGTGAAAATTACTGGCAGATCCAAAATGATGTGAATCTTTACCTGATGAAGGTCAAAAATCAATTGAGCAAGATCCTCAATAGAGTAAATGTCGTGGTGCGGAGGCGGAGATATAAGTGGAACGCCTGGTTTAGAATTTCTTAGTCTGGCAATATATGCGCTCACTTTTTTCCCAGGTAGTTGACCACCTTCACCAGGCTTTGCACCTTGGGCAATTTTGATTTCTAACTGATCAGCATTGACCAAGAATGTTGGAGTAACACCAAAACGTCCAGAAGCAACCTGAAACATGCAACAATTTTCTGTCAAGCACTTTCAGTGTACATNTCTACTTGGGAACAAGTGAGGGAGGGTGATATGATAGCTATTCACGGTAAACACACGGGTAAAGGAAGGCCAAAATTAACTTTAAATGAAATAAAAAAGAAAGATATGATCATTTATGATTTGACTGAAAACATTACCTCAATAGAGTTCAATGGTGAACCACGATTCATGTAGCCGACCCCATAAATGTTAGAACAAGGCTTTATTGAGTTGAGTTGAGTCAATAAATATTCTATTTATGTGGTATGTTGTCCTCCTTGCATAAAAAAAATTATTATTGAAGGGTTTTGGACTAAATAGAAATGGAGATTAGTAAATGCGTGAACGATTAATTTGGATATAGTCTCCATATAAAGCTTTACATAGAGTTACTGATTTGAGCTACATGGATTTAGTGATTGTAGGAGATGGCATGTATTAACCCATTTATTAAATTAGTAGACGAATTCCACTTAAGTTCTGATTTTCAGTTCCATATTTTGGTTTCCTTTTTACTGGCATTTTTTTTTTTCAAGAGTTTTGTCAAGGACATAAAACAAACTAAGGAACTATAATTTGTAAGTCAATCAATTCAACCATAACACAATAATAATGTTCAACTAGGACTAAAAGCATGGAATAAAAATTTTATCAGACACTGGAATAATTACCTCCTCAGCAACATATAGAAAGAAGTTGACAAGGTCACCGGGAACACCAGGAAAACGAGCTCGTAATTCTTCTCTCTGGATTAGTATGATTGCGGAATAAAAATACAAACATGTCCAAACATGTTATTAGAGAGAACAGTGAATGCAAAATCAATATAACGCAGTAATCCTTATTACCTGACTAGCAACACCAACTGGACAATTATTCGTGTGGCAAATGCGAGCCATGACACATCCAGTAGCAATCATTGCCACAGAACCAAATCCATACTCATCAGCACCCATTGTTGCAGCCATTAGGACATCAACTCCACTTTTGAATCCACCATCAACTCTGAGAATGACCCTTTCTCGAAGTCCATTTTTGATAAGTGTCTGCCGGTGGTTATTGCAGGGAAAACACAAAAAGAATCTACATGAATACTGATAACATTAAAATAAGGAATGGGATGATTCAATTCCAAGGAGTATAAACCTGATGTGATTCAGCAAGTCCAAGTTCCCAAGGACCACCAGCATGTTTAATGGAACTTATGGGACTGGCTCCAGTACCTCCATCATGCCCTGATATCTGCAAATTAGGTTAGGCATATCAGTTGCAACTGTTGGCCGTGTTCTTGGTAAATAGCAGCATATATTGGTATGTCTGCAGTTGAATATTTCCAGTGAATTTATAAATGTGGTTGGAAAGTATCTGACAAATGCAGAACAATTTTAACTAGTTAAAAAGAATAAAAAAAAATGTACATATACATGTTTCAATGACCTGAATATATGAAACTAGAGTTACACAAAAAAATGGCATCTTTAAAGTCAGATCGCCAATGCTAAAAACAATAGTGGTTCTGGTTCAAAAATTTGAGTTGACAACAAAATCAAAGACCAGACATATAGTTCAATTATTAACAAGCAGAGTATATTTAACATTGCCAAAATTCAAGATATCACCCTCGACATTAAAAATTAAGAAGGAATATGTAGCAACCAACACACCCTTGTTGAAATGTCATCACTGTATAGGGCTACATTCATAGACAACAAAGTCCTAAAAAAAGTTTAAACCCCCTTTTTTATCATTTACTATAGGAAAGCAGCAATTACCTTCCAAATTTAGTTAGATTGTAAAGTTTTAGGGAATTACGACATTGTGCAGAAAGTAGTGTGTTAAGTCACCCAACTATATCACAGACTAAATACAAGCAATTATACAAAGTACTGAACACCTCCAAACTGAAAATAAAGGAAAACATCAAAATTTTGTACAAATGCCATTAAGGAGCCAATACGTATGATTTGACAGTAGCTTCCTTCAAAAATTAGCACTGAAAGAGAATATAAGTCAGGGATTATTCAGTCTTTGGGTTATATGAGCTGTGGTGAAGTATGATCAGGTGGCTATTAAATCGTATCCAGGACAATAATAAGAAATGACTGACACCCACCAAGTAGAAGGCGCCTCAACAAGTAGAATGGGTTAAAACCAGCTTCGTTTGTTTTTATGGCTTTTTAACTTCAACCCATTGTTGTATCCATTATTCAAAACGAGAAAAGAAAAGAAAAAAGAAAAAAGAAAAAACTTTGATCCCTCGCTAAAAGGCATGATCCGGCATCTCTTTCCACATATAAAAGTTGGAAGTTTCACTGCCCATTATACCTGTATAACATCAGCATTACCCTTTGCAACCCCAGAAGCCACTGTACCAATTCCAGCTTCTGCCACGAGCTTTACAGATACCTTAGCCTTAGGATTAACCTGTTTAAATTGAAAATAACAGTTCATGACTAATTTCTCAGGGTAAACATCTCTGGTGAAAATTACTGGCAGATCCAAAATGATGTGAATCTTTACCTGATGAAGGTCAAAAATCAATTGAGCAAGATCCTCAATAGAGTAAATGTCGTGGTGCGGAGGCGGAGATATAAGTGGAACGCCTGGTTTAGAATTTCTTAGTCTGGCAATATATGCGCTCACTTTTTTCCCAGGTAGTTGACCACCTTCACCAGGCTTTGCACCTTGGGCAATTTTGATTTCTAACTGATCAGCATTGACCAAGAATGTTGGAGTGACACCAAAACGTCCAGAAGCAACCTGAAACATGCAACAATTTTCTGTCAAGCACTTTCAGTGTACATCGTAAGAGGGGAAGCTACACTCCGTCTCGGTATTTAACAAGGAAACAATGTGTAACCTACTATGATGGAACAATAATTTGTCTTACCCAAGCACTGACCATCTAACTTACTAAAATAATACCAGCACTCTGGCAATTTAATTCTGAATACATTTTTATCTTCTAGTATTTCATGAGATACCCATAGGTGCTCCATCAGTAGCACTGTAGTAACAAGCTCATAGAAATGACAAACAAAGCATAGAGAAGTTGCTTCAAAAAAGAGTAAACAGTGTTCCAACCTGCTTGATAGCGCTTGTAGCAGTATCGCCATTTTGAAGACCTTTGAGATGTGGCAGTGTGGGAGAGTACCCATCAACAACATCAGTGAGTGGGCTCCAGCGAATTGGATCCTGGGTGAACAAATGCAATATATGTCATCACTATCACAATGTGATTCATGGCCAGGGATGATGTACATCACGATTAACTAAAATATTGAAAAGAATACCTCTCCACCCTCTCCGGAGTTGGATTTTCCACCTAATCTGTTCATTGCAATGGCAATTGCTTCATGAGTTTCCCTGGAAATAGCTCCAAGTGACATTCCACCAGTGCAGAACCGCTGAACAATACTTGAAGCAGATTCAACCCTACCAACTGGAATGGGGGAACGATCGCTTTTGAACTCTAGAAGATCACGAAGAACCTGCAGCAAAAACATAAGTACGGAGTTCAAATTTTCCAGTGAAGATAACTGCTCTTGGATATCATAATAAACATAGTCTAAAAAATTGGAATGGGCACAGCCGCACAGAGAGCAAGTGTGAATGTGATAGTCTAATTCATTTGTTTTCCGATGGTTTTATATGATAGGTAAGAGTTAGATACACCTGTACATACCCATATCCTAGGTCAATTCAAGTACTCTATGGTCAAGTCAAAACTCCAGGTAACATAGCACATTCAGCAAAGCCAAAGAGGAATAAAACAGCAATCACTTCAGCAACTTACATTCACAGGTCGGTTAACCAAATGCTGTTGATAAACAGAATAAGAATTTTCACTCTTTTGGCGAACAGCTTTGTGGAGCAGTTTTGACATCTCTGGGTTGTTTCCATGGTATTCACCTTTCAATTAGACCAAAGGAAAGAACTTCAGCACCCTTCAGTGCAGAGGACAGACTAAATTTCAATAAAATGAAGACATGACATTATTTCATGCATAAAACACTATCACATGAAAAGAAGTGTACTACGAGAATTTATGACCTACAAATGATACAAAACTAAATGTAATCCAGTGTCTAATTGCAANATTCAGCAAGTCCAAGTTCCCAAGGACCACCAGCATGTTTAATGGAACTTATGGGGCTGGCTCCAGTACCTCCATCATGCCCTGATATCTGCAAATTAGGTTAGGCATATCAGTTGCAACTGTTGGCCGTGTTCTTGGTAAATAGCAGCATATATTGGTATGTCTGCAGTTGAATATTTCCAGTGAATTTATAAATGTGGTTGGAAAGTATCTGACAAATGCAGAACAATTTTAACTAGTTAAAAAGAATAAAAAAAAATGTACATATACATGTTTCAATGACCTGAATATATGAAACTAGAGTTACACAAAAAAATGGCATCTTTAAAGTCAGATCGCCAATGCTAAAAACAATAGTGGTTCTGGTTCAAAAATTTGAGTTGACAACAAAATCAAAGACCAGACATATAGTTCAATTATTAACAAGCAGAGTATATTTAACATTGCCAAAATTCAAGATATCACCCTCGACATTAAAAATTAAGAAGGAATATGTAGCAACCAACACACCCTTGTTGAAATGTCATCACTGTATAGGGCTACATTCATAGACAACAAAGTCCTAAAAAAAGTTTAAACCCCCTTTTTTATCATTTACTATAGGAAAGCAGCAATTACCTTCCAAATTTAGTTAGATTGTAAAGTTTTAGGGAATTACGACATTGTGCAGAAAGTAGTGTGTTAAGTCACCCAACTATATCACAGACTAAATACAAGCAATTATACAAAGTACTGAACACCTCCAAACTGAAAATAAAGGAAAACATCAAAATTTTGTACAAATGCCATTAAGGAGCCAATACGTATGATTTGACAGTAGCTTCCTTCAAAAATTAGCACTGAAAGAGAATATAAGTCAGGGATTATTCAGTCTTTGGGTTATATGAGCTGTGGTGAAGTATGATCAGGTGGCTATTAAATCGTATCCAGGACAATAATAAGAAATGACTGACACCCACCAAGTAGAAGGCGCCTCAACAAGTAGAATGGGTTAAAACCAGCTTCGTTTGTTTTTATGGCTTTTTAACTTCAACCCATTGTTGTATCCATTATTCAAAACGAGAAAAGAAAAGAAAAAAGAAAAAAGAAAAAACTTTGATCCCTCGCTAAAAGGCATGATCCGGCATCTCTTTCCACATATAAAAGTTGGAAGTTTCACTGCCCATTATACCTGTATAACATCAGCATTACCCTTTGCAACCCCAGAAGCCACTGTACCGATTCCAGCTTCTGCCACGAGCTTTACAGATACCTTAGCCTTAGGATTAACCTGTTTAAATTGAAAATAACAGTTCATGACTAATTTCTCAGGGTAAACATCTCTGGTGAAAATTACTGGCAGATCCAAAATGATGTGAATCTTTACCTGATGAAGGTCAAAAATCAATTGAGCAAGATCCTCAATAGAGTAAATGTCGTGGTGCGGAGGCGGAGATATAAGTGGAACGCCTGGTTTAGAATTTCTTAGTCTGGCAATATATGCGCTCACTTTTTTCCCAGGTAGTTGACCACCTTCACCAGGCTTTGCACCTTGGGCAATTTTGATTTCTAACTGATCAGCATTGACCAAGAATGTTGGAGTGACACCAAAACGTCCAGAAGCAACCTGAAACATGCAACAATTTTCTGTCAAGCACTTTCAGTGTACATCGTAAGAGGGGAAGCTACACTCCGTCTCGGTATTTAACAAGGAAACAATGTGTAACCTACTATGATGGAACAATAATTTGTCTTACCCAAGCACTGACCATCTAACTTACTAAAATAATACCAGCACTCTGGCAATTTAATTCTGAATACATTTTTATCTTCTAGTATTTCATGAGATACCCATAGGTGCTCCATCAGTAGCACTGTAGTAACAAGCTCATAGAAATGACAAACAAAGCATAGAGAAGTTGCTTCAAAAAAGAGTAAACAGTGTTCCAACCTGCTTGATAGCGCTTGTAGCAGTATCGCCATTTTGAAGACCTTTGAGATGTGGCAGTGTGGGAGAGTACCCATCAACAACATCAGTGAGTGGGCTCCAGCGAATTGGATCCTGGGTGAACAAATGCAATATATGTCATCACTATCACAATGTGATTCATGGCCAGGGATGATGTACATCACGATTAACTAAAATATTGAAAAGAATACCTCTCCACCCTCTCCGGAGTTGGATTTTCCACCTAATCTGTTCATTGCAATGGCAATTGCTTCATGAGTTTCCCTGGAAATAGCTCCAAGTGACATTCCACCAGTGCAGAACCGCTGAACAATACTTGAAGCAGATTCAACCCTACCAACTGGAATGGGGGAACGATCGCTTTTGAACTCTAGAAGATCACGAAGAACCTGCAGCAAAAACATAAGTACGGAGTTCAAATTTTCCAGTGAAGATAACTGCTCTTGGATATCATAATAAACATAGTCTAAAAAATTGGAATGGGCACAGCCGCACAGAGAGCAAGTGTGAATGTGATAGTCTAATTCATTTGTTTTCCGATGGTTTTATATGATAGGTAAGAGTTAGATACACCTGTACATACCCATATCCTAGGTCAATTCAAGTACTCTATGGTCAAGTCAAAACTCCAGGTAACATAGCACATTCAGCAAAGCCAAAGAGGAATAAAACAGCAATCACTTCAGCAACTTACATTCACAGGTCGGTTAACCAAATGCTGTTGATAAACAGAATAAGAATTTTCACTCTTTTGGCGAACAGCTTTGTGGAGCAGTTTTGACATCTCTGGGTTGTTTCCATGGTATTCACCTTTCAATTAGACCAAAGGAAAGAACTTCAGCACCCTTCAGTGCAGAGGACAGACTAAATTTCAATAAAATGAAGACATGACATTATTTCATGCATAAAACACTATCACATGAAAAGAAGTGTACTACGAGAATTTATGACCTACAAATGATACAAAACTAAATGTAATCCAGTGTCTAATTGCAACTGTGAACACTTAGCAAGCCATGTGATATATAGTGCATGAAAGCAGCAGGTTGCATTTACATCAGACTTTGGTNTAAAACTAAATGTAATCCAGTGTCTAATTGCAACTGTGAACACTTAGCCAGCCATGTGATATATAGTGCATGAAAGCAGCAGGTTGCATTTACATCAGACTTTGGTTCAATGTCCAATAGAAAGAGAGAGAGACAGTGAGAGTTGGTACAGCAGACAGCTCATTGAAAGACCTTATGCAGGAAGCCCATAGATATCTTCTTGGTAGCCTAAACACCCTCAGATCTTTGTGACGAGAAAGGTTTTCAACAAATACATCTACAAGCAGGGGACTTCTTCAACATATTGACACTAACACCCCTTAACCCACTGTGAGCAAAAAAAAATAGCAATTCCAATAATCCTCTAAAAACCGGAAAAACACAAGATGTTGAAAGGTGATGGCCCTGCGAGATTAAACTATGATCAGCCCGGGTTTGAGGACATATATAAGACCTCACCAATTGACCCATCTAGGATATTGGATATGGAGGGAAAAAATTTGCAATCCCTTAATTTTCCCCCTTCCCCCAAACACAAAAGAGGTTGCTACCCTGAAAGAATTTTATAAAGTTAAACACGAGTATGCGCATGTTCCAAAATGTTATGCTTTGACAAAATGTCTAGACTATGATAATATCACATCTCGTGTAATGTAGTTTGTCAAAACTAAAGGAAATCAAATATTTTGCTAGTTTCATCAAAGTACATCCTACAACTTCAAGTAGGTTTCAATACACTGAACTGTTATTATGTGTGTATGTGTGTGCAAAATAAAACTTAACAGTGAATAGATAAAATACAAAGTTTTAGGTAGTAAGCTTTGTACAACAGCAAAAGATACCTCCTGCTCTGAATTGTATAAATCCAAAATTTTCAAGCCTTTTAGCCGTATCCTCGGAGAAAGCTTTCACCCAAAACGATAAAGTCTCCCTGGCCAACTGCAGGAGGAAAAGATTGCATAAACTAAAATTCCTCAATGGACTGGAATTAAAAAACTGTAAGTAAAGAGCAAAGGAGCAGCAACCAATATGAGTTTCCAAACATAAAAACCACGTAAAAGAACCATGAGATTGCACTTATGATGCATTTGCCACTGTCGCAAACTTCTTCCATGCAATTCACTGATCAAAATACATCGCCTCCAATTATCAATAAGAGGGTGTATCGGTAGTCTCCTGGCTACCAGCCCAGTGACCCTCTAGTGATTTTTATACTCCATCCTTGCTTCTAATTGTATGTTTGGGCAGGATCTATGTTGGGTAACCTTTGTTTGGATGTTTTGGCAAACATGACTTGCACCAGTAGCCTCTTGCAGTAAAGTCGGCTGGCTCTGTTGATGGTTCTCTGGTGTCACCAGTGGCAGAGTTGCACTGTTTCTATGTGGGTTGTTGTTTTCTTGGTCGTCTGATTGTCTGCAGTGGTGTTTTTTTTTTTTTTTAAACGCACTCTGGGTGTTTGGTGGAGATCTGGGTTGTTGTTTGTATGTGGATTTGTTGTTGTTGTGTTGGAGTTGGTCTTCTGTTGTCATCAACTCTCCCGAAACTGTTGGATTTTCAACGGTTTGAATCCGTTGTTTGGTCGATTGATAGATAGGTGATTTTGCATTTCCATTGTGGGTGCCTCGTGAGTTCGTTGTTCTTTGGCTGGCTGCTTAGTCTGGCTGTGTTGTGTTTGGTCTTCGACTGGCTGCTATGTGTGGTGGAGTTGCTTGATGCAGTCACTTGTTTCTCCGATCTTTGAGGATTCTTGGTCCTGATTTCATTCTGAGTTGTGATTTTACACTATTGATTTTGATCTAGGTATGCTGGGTGTATGGTTTGTAACTTTAGCTTGTGTTCTTCCTGACCCTCGATGGCTTATTGGGTTGTTTGTGGTTTATGGGCTGTTTGTGAGGTTGCTTACTCTTGTAGGTTTCTCAATGACAACTTTGCACGGTGGTCGTTGTGATGCTCGTGATAAGTGGCAACGTACTAATTGTGGTTGCACGGGACTAAGTATCAAAATTTCATTTCANATTTGTGAGGTTGCTTACTCTTGTGGGTTTCTCAATGACAACTTTGAACGGTGGTCGTTGTGATGCTCGTGATAAGTGGCAACGTACTAATTGTGGTTGCACGGGACTAAGTATCAAAATTTCATTTCAATGCATTGTTTCAGTCACTTAGAAAACGGAAACGTTTCGACGTGTTTCGAAAAAAAAATTAAAAAAATTAAAAATTTTAAGAATTATTTTTTCAAAATATTGATCGAAATATACCAAAATATCTTGAAATACCTTGAAACATTTCAAAATAATTTTGCAAATACATTAAAATATAACAAAATAATTCAAAATANGTCACTTAGAAAACGGAAACGTTTCGACGTATTTCGAAAAAAAAATTAAAAAAATTAAAAATTTTAAGAATTATTTTTTCAAAATATTGATTGAAATATACCAAAATATCTTGAAATACCTTAAAACATTTCAAAATAATTTTGCAAATACATTAAAATATAACAAAATAATTCAAAATATTGTGGAACACCTCAAAGTATTAGAATTTCGATTCCATCACTAATTCGTTTCGGTCTGCTTGGAAACGAAAATGTTTCAGATGTATCGATCGTTTCAAAACAATATTTTGATCCTTGCACAAAGCATATAGTAAATTATTGTTGGGATCGATATGGCAAACCAACATATACAAATCAGGCATTCGATGATCCTTCCGGTTCTCTAGTACATCAATCTTCCACCTATGGTCCAGTTGCATCTGCTCATGATTATCATGCTGATCTTTCTTCTTAGTTTCATCAGCTCATCCAACAGTTATCTTCACTTACATCACTTTTATCTGTGTCTAGTACCAATCTTGTTCATGGAGGCACTTTGCATGTATAGTTGCCCAACCCCCTTCGTCATCTTGGATCATTGACTCAAGAGTCAGTGCCCATATGTCTGGTATTTCTTCCCTTTTCTTTAATTTTCATTCCTCTAACTCACGTATTGTATTATATGATGGCTCCTTTCGACGAATACGAGGGACCGGAGCTCTCTGTCCTACTCAATCTATGTCACTAACCTCTAATTTATTTGTTCCTAATTTTCTATTTAATTTGTTATCTATAAGTCAGCTAACTAAGTCATTATAGTATTTTGTAACCTTCTTTCCATCCTCTTGTGTTTTCAGGGCCTCAAGATGAAGAAGGTGATTGATTTGAGGCATGAGAGGAATGGTATATACTACTTAAATCTTGGTAGTTTTTGCCTTGAGTACTGTGGTGTCTCCTCTTTAGTGACACTTCCAACTAGGTCATCCTTCATTGCAAAAGTTACGGTAAGTTATTCTTGATTTGAGTCTTTCTTTCTGTGTTAGAATGTGAACCTTACAAATTAGGCAAGCATCACCATAGTTTCTTTCCTCCTAGTTCTTCAGGTCCTCAGTCAAGTCCGTTTTCATGTTGTTCATACAAACATTTAGGGTCCTACAAGCGTCAAGTATTTCTGAGTTTCAGTATTTCGTGATATTTGCTAATAATTTCTCTCGTATGCCTTGATTATTCCTTCTGAACAATCAATCTGAATTACCCAGAGTCATTACCACATTTTATAATGAAATTCTGCCCCAGTTTAATGTTCATATTAAAGTTCTTTGGTCTAATAATATCCTTGAGTATACTTAATCTTTTATAAAAATCTTATCCATCAAACCACGTCCTCGTACCTCCCAACAAAATAGTGTTTTCAAACATAAGTATTGTTATTTATTGGGTATTGTTTGCACCTTGATGTTTTACATATTGGGTTGATGTTGTTTTCACTACATTCTATCTTATTAATCAGATGTCTTGTCCAGTCTTAGATAATAAATCTCTGTTTTCCTTGATATATCCTAATACATCAGCAGTTGGTCTAACTCATTGTATACTTGATTGTGTTGCATTTCTTCACCTTCTTAGTCCCGGTCGAGATAAACTTTCACCTCGTTCACTTAAGTACATCTTTTTGGGATACTCTCATACTTAGAAATGTTTCCATTGTTATGACCCAGTCTCTCACAAGTATTATGTCAATGCCAAAGTCACATTGTTTGAATTAACTTTTTTCTTTTCTAATGTATAAACTACTATTTTATCAGATTTGATCTCTAGTAGTCACGGGGAGCTAATATTGCCTCTCGTACCTAATGGTGTATCTTCTCCCTCTCCGGCTACTGACCCTACTTTGCATGTTTTACAGTGAGACCTCCCATGTTGCTCACCTTAATTCTATTAGAATTCTTATTTCTGTTATAGTCAATTCTGACGAACCCTTATATCAGCCGGACATAAAGAATGCATTCTTACATAAAGATTTACAAGAGGAGGTATATATGACCCACCCTTTAAGTTATGTTATTTCTGGACAAGAACAATTAGTGTCTTTTGAAGAAGGCACTGTATGACTTGAAACAGCCACCACGTGCAATCTTTGATAATATTGGGTGATATCGATGATTGGTTGGTAAATTGATTTATCACATATGTTGTTGGGGTGGTTAGTCAGTACATGCATGCCCCTCGTAAGCCTCATTGGGAGGTTGTATCTAAAAAAAGCTCTGAGAAAAGTTTATTGTATCATTCCTCATTATCCATAATTGTTGTTGATTTTTCTGACTCTGATTGAGCAGGTTGTCATAGTGATAAACAATTTATGTCTAGGTATTGCACATTTGTTAGCGATAATCTGGATACTTCGTGCAATAAGAAACAGAATATGGTTGCTCGTTCTAGTGCAAAGGTTGAATATCGTACTATGGANAGGTTGTCATAGTGATAAACAATTTATGTCTAGGTATTGCACATTTGTTAGCGATAATCTGGATACTTCGTGCAGTAAGAAACAGAATATGGTTGCTCGTTCTAGTGCAAAGGTTGAATATCGTACTATGGAACATACTGCTTGTGAGATGCTATGAGTATGTTCTTTACTCCATAATATGGGACTTGATTTGTTTTTCCCTATAAAAATACATTGTGACAATCAAACAGCTATTTTCATTATAAGTAATCTGATATTTTATGAGCGTACCAAACACATTGAGGTGATTGTCATTNTTACTTTAATTATAAGTAATCTGATATTTTATGAGCGTACCAAACACATTGAGGTGATTGTCATTTCATTCGAAATCTCTTAATGTGGAAGGAGATCATCACCCCATATATTAAGTTTGATGATCAATTGGATGACACTCTTACTAAGCTATTAGCTCAGTCCGTCTTCAGTAGTTTATGTTCTAAGCTAAGCATTTTCTATCTTTATACTCCAACTTGAGGGAGAGTGTTAAAGTTCTTATTTTTGTGTTAGTCATATTTAAATTAGTATAGGGTAATATTATAATTACCCTAATTGTTTCTCTACTATAAAGAAAAGGGTGTAGGGCAACACAAAATACACCAATTATTCCTCTCGATCTCTCTTCTTCTATTCTCTTCCTCTTTTTCCCTCTTGCTACTAAACCCTAACATAAAGTACACAATTTAACTATAAGATAGGATAAAAAATCCTTCAAATGTAATGTGGACCAAATAGAATAACCACATGTAGGTCAAACAATATCATATTTTCGATAGAGGCATCAAATTGGTTATTGGAAATGGCCAGAATATCTCTTTCTGGGCAGATTGGTGGTTGGGGGAAGGACCACTTCAGCAAAGCATTCAGGTTCCTCATTCGGAAGCTCTGGACACCACTGTTGCAAACTTCATTGATCAGTCAGGTAACTGGAACTGGCAGGAAGCAAGTAAGTTCCTCTCTCAAGATCATTTGGATGAAATGGCTTATATTTTATTACCTGATCTAGGCTCCCAACAGGACAGAACCTGCTGGGGCCATACTAATAGTGGAATCTTCTCTACAAAATCTGTTTATGAGTTGATCATACAAGTTGAAAGAAAAAAAGTTCACAAGGGGTTATGTGAGTGGCTATGGAAACTTAAATTAACGCAGAAGATTAAGTTTTTTCTCTGGCTTGTTCAACATGATAGAATCTTATCTAATCAACTAAGGGCAAATAGGAATATTGCACCAAATGGCAGTTGCTGCAGATGCAATGCTCATTCTGAGACAACATTGCATATTCTTAGAGACTGTTCGAAGGCTTAGGAGGTCTGGAGAGTCTTTCTTGACAGACAAGTGAGGCTCGCCGACCAAACCTTGAGCCTCCAAGAAAGGCTCAAAACGAATATCAAATCAAGAAAGGGGGATGATGGAAGATATGCTGGGTGGCCTGTTTTATTCTCACATATATGGACAGCAAGGAATAGGGAAAGCATTGAAAAAACTCTTAACTTATCCTAGTGTGGTTTGTAAGAATGCATTGAATTTTGCCCAAAAAATCCATCGTGCCTACTTTGATATTAACTTGAACAAAGTTGTTAAACCCACAAGATTGATTGGATGGCCTTTTCCTCCTGCAAGTTGGTTCAAACTGAACAAGGATAGATGCTCCAAAGGCAAATCCAGGGTCAGCAGGCGTGGGAGATAAGCAGGGAATTTGGCTGACAGGATTTTATGGCAAATTAAATCCGTCAACAAGCTTCAAGGCTGAGTTATGGGCTATCTACTGGGGTCTGGAGCTGGCAAAGGAGATTGGAATGAACAACGTGATTGTGGAGACTGACTCTTATGAGGCTTATAAACTCCTTTCTGAAGAACAAGAGTCCCTCACTCGATAGGAGTTCTTGTAGAAAGATGTATCCAACTGTTGAAGGATGGCAACTGGAAGATTTGTCACATCCTACGCGAAGGAAATCAATGCGTAGATGCACTTATGACCTAGGCGAAAGGCAATCAGTTAACCTTGTTAAACTGGATGCCCCCCTAAGAGAGATTGCATGTTTGCTTGGGGCAGATCTTGCTGGAGTTAGTTTCATTAGGGAGCCTTAGATGGCTTTGTAGTGTTTTTTTTTTTTGTTATGTATCCTTTTCCACTGTACCAAAAAAAACAATATCACTCTTTCAAGCTAAGAAGCAATACAATAACAATCAAGGATCCTCCAAAATTATCATGTAAAAATTAAAAATCTTGAGTTGATTACATTATTCACCCTCAAAGATTACACCAATTCTCAGTTTTTGCTCTTTAATTTTTTGTCAATTACATCCTCTGATTTTCTACATACAGTCCACTCAATGATTTCCATCAAAAACTTGATAGAAATACCATGTGTCATCATGGCAAATGACATCTGTGCATCAGGTGCCATGTGTCATCATGGAAGGATCACGCCTTTTTCCATGAGAAATTTAACTGTTGTTATTGATTGGACTGAATTGACCCTGAGTCAGAAGTTAGAGGACTAAATTTACACCCAAAAAAAAGTGAATCAACTGAGAATTAGGTGATACATTTGAGGTAGAAAGTTTAATTAAATCTAAATTTAAAAACTTGTAAGGTTTACAAACCTCATGTTTACTAAAAACAAAAATACAGCTAATTTAGGGAAAGTTTGGAAAGAGAGTGATTTTTTGTGGTGTTCCATACCTCGTCAAAAGTTAATCCACCAATACTTGAAACACTCCCACAAAATGCAAGATCAACAACCTCTGTTCCTAATCCATATATTTCAAAGATCTGTGCGCCACAGTAACTATATCCAAGAAGCTTGTAAGTAGAATTTCACCAGGGAGGATAATCAAAGTGAGCAAGATTATAGGAAACCATAACTGTAAACAATAGGGGGAAAGCAGATAAAGAGGAAGTAGCTATTTGAAAATTTATTAAATGAACACATACCTGGAGAGCAATGAAATTCCCATTTTGGAGAGAATTTTCAGTAGACCAGATTTAACTGCCTGCAAATGGCATAAAACTATTACATTTGTTCAGCATTCAGTAAAACAAAAAACTAAAAGAAATCAAAAGTAAAAACCATGTTAGCTCAGACTACACAAAGCGGGGTTCATAACAGATATAGATACCAACGAAGCAGAAAGATAAAGGAATACTAAAAGCAGATAACCATAAACTGCTCAGAATACACAAAGCGGGGTTTATAATGGANATAGCTCAGAATACACAAAGCGGGGTTCATAACAGATATAGATACCAACGAAGCAGAAAGATAAAGGAAAACTAAAAGCAGATAACCATAAACTGCTCAGAATACACAAAGCGGGGTTTATAATGGATATTGATACCAAAGAAGCAGAAAGTTAAAGAAAAACTAAAAGCAGAAAACCATAAACTTCATGATTAAGGTCACATGCTTGGATCTTGTGGATATCTGGGCACGAAAAAATTATCACCACCCTTCCCCCCAGTGATTAGTTGTCTGTTTACTTTTGCATTTCTACTACCACCTCTCTATGTAAACCGGCTGTATGTTTTACTGATTATTAAGCTCCATTTGAACGTTAAAACGATAAACGGATGCCTGAACATGTGCCTATCTAATTATGTATCTGCACTACCACATTTGTTTACCGACCAACTTGCTATCCCTCGCTCCTCCTGCAGTTTAATCTTTCATGGGACCAAATGGATACCCATACAAAGATAAAATGGAAGTCTTGCCGAATCCCGTCTCCAAAAATAACCCCATTCAAAATTCTAGAACTCTTAGTAATCTAGATAATTCAACCTACAAAACCTTTCCAAGAAAGCATAATGCCATATGAAACTTGCATATGGATACAAGATACAGGATACATATATGACAAATACAGATGTACTATATGTGAAGCTTGTGGTTTGGATTTTTAGGTTGCATGCAAAGAAGTGAGATTCATGCAGCATTGACACTGCCTTCAGATAGATTAGACATAAACTTCAATTACCCCTTGTTTTTAAAATAATGGTGCAGCTATGAAACTTAATTCTTATAAAATATTATTAATATTACATGCTAGAAAAGTGGCATCTCTTTTATTAAAAGATATAGAAAGCATGTCCAGAAATATTCAGTTATTACTTAGTACAATATAGATGTTTATCTTAAGATTGTAAGTACCTCAGGGAAATCATAGACATGCACGATGGTATCACTGTTGTTGAAGCATTAAATTCTTGGCAAGACAGGATAAGAACAGGAGCAATTATGAGAAATAACTAGTAATTGCAGTCCTTTTACAAATCAAATGCCAACATCCACTCTAAGGAGTTTACTGAGCCTTGTAGCACTGTATTTCTTAGAGCTCTAAGACCAAAAAAAAGACTTTGAACTGAAAAAGACTTATCTAAATAAACACCATATCTCACTAAGGTCATATAAGATGGGAAACACCTAAGAAATAGGAGTAAAGTAAGCTCTGAAGTAACTTTATTGTTAANCAAGACAAAAAAAAAGACTTTGAACTGAAAAAGACTTATCTAAATAAACACCATATCTCACTAAGGTCATATAAAATGGGAAACACCTAAGAAATAGGAGTAAAGTAAGCTCTGAAGTAACTTTATTGTTAAGGTTTCTGAAAATCCAAAATTTACAGAGATTTTTTAATTTTTATTTTTGAAATTTTCATATTTTGAAAAACCTTAACAATGAAGTTACGTAAGAGCTCAATTAACTTCTTTCTAAAGAATAGAACATTGATTTCGAAGATTTTGGATGTAGCAATAAAGCCAAGATTTTTGCTGACGAGGAACCTCTCCAGGGTAGGGCCACATCGGACTGACCCCAGGTAAATCATGAATATCTGCAATCTCTTGTTGACCCCAGGTACAAACCCAGAGACACCAGAGACAGTTGGACCCAAAATTTCCATGTTTATAGTTCACCCCAAGCTCAACCCCACACCACTGCGCTACCCAAATTTTAAAGAGAAGTGTGGTTTTCGCTTTATTTTGTATGGTATGGTGGGAAAGAAATGGGAGGATTCTTTATGATGGGGAGAATCCGTGGGATGACTTGTGGGATAAAACTTTTTTCTTGGCCTCTCTTTGGGTGTCAACACCTAAGGACTTTGAAGGGATGCCACGTTTTTTGCTTGAGATAATTGGGCTCTAAGTGTGGAAAGCATGTTGACACACGGCTATTTCTTATCTCCTCATATTTTTTTTTAAATTGTTTTGTTTTTCTTTGACTTTATATCTTTTAGAGTATTCCTCATCCTTCCATGTATCTTTCCCATTTTTTATTTGTAGTTCAATCATGTTTACTATTAAAGAGAGCCCAACAATTAGAGCCATGAAGAAACTTTGATTCAGACCATATTACCAAATCCATTTTGCCAACCTTTTTTGGGATGACATATCAACTCTAAACCTAAACATAATATTTAAATAACACCCTCTTATCTTGACTTGGGAATCTCTCCACCAATCCTCCACTGTTATTAGCTCATAGGCCACTATTACCGCATCCATTACAAGAGGTCAAATAAAGAAGAGAATAAATGGAATGGAGCTTAAATACAGAACGGCCTCCCATTCCCCTTTTCCCCACCCTAAGAGGAAACGAAAGATATTAATGTCTACATAATGGAAGGCACCCAAAGATTTAACCACACCACCCTAGATACTTCACTAGGTTCGCCAACTGAGATATAGATTCCTTAGCAGTTAGAATATTAATGCCTGCAATGAAACCTTTTTCCCTAACCATATTAAGCCAGAAAAGTGAATAAAATTCCAATGACAAGGTGGAGGCTAAACAACAATGAAAAGATTTAATGTGGCATGAAAATATCCTCTGCATCTTATCCTAAATCTTCAATTTCTTCTTTTAGAATGATTGCCAAGCACTTCTTACCCAATATTCGGACCATGCTAGTTGGAGTTAACATACTATGGGTTCCTGCTTTATTTGGATCCAAATTGTTGACGCTTATGAATGGATAGAGATGATTGCAAATAGCAACTAAATAAATCAATGAATTCAACCACGTCCGTGCTTTGTACTTTTCATTTTATTTCAACTTGTCCTCGAATTTCTATTTCATCTGTCTTTCTTCTAATTCATACATTTCATCTGTCTTTCTTCCAATTCATACTATGTTTATTTTATTCTCCTGGTTCTTGAGTGTGGAAATTCTATCAAAGAAAGAAAATAAAGGAGTCCATTCCCCTATTGAATCCTCATCTGGAACAAAAGATAAGTATTATAATCATAACCAGAATCTGACTCAGTCCCAGTGCAGCCACTTGAAATAAAATCTAGTAAGACATGGTAATGATATAATCTTCCAGTTCTTACAGAAGCTCGTTCTTACCAGTCAAGAAGTAAAACAGCTCTATCTTATCCTATATTCCAGCGCAGCAGGGTTGTCTTTTGAATTCAGTAGATAGAAGAAGCTATTAAATCTATCACTTTTATTCCAGTTGTTCAAACAACCCCTAAAACTAAGAATCTTTAGAAACGTGGAAAGGGAGTGGAACAAATATACGAAGGAAAACACAAAATAACAGTGTAAATCTTAAAAAGAATTCCTTCCAGTATGGATGTACAAAGACCTTGCAAAAGTTNCGGAAAGGGAGTGGAACAAATATACTAAGGAAAACACAAAATAACAATGTAAATCTTAAAAAGAATTCCTTCCAGTATGGATGTACAAAGACCTTGCAAAAGTTCTTTTGCGCCTGCTCAATTGTAACAGTCGGCATCTTTCCATTTCGCATCATGTTCACAGTTTTATTGCTCAAGCGCCAATGCCGACACGTCTCCAATGCCAAGTATGGGCAAACAGCGCTGCAAAGATGCATCAAGGATGGAATGAAATGTGTTAACATGACTCCATAAGAGAAAAATGAATTTAATTGATGCGCTAGGAACTGATAATGTATAGCTTCTAATTGGTCAATTTCGAGTTGAACTTGCAAATGCATGCTGACTAATAGAGTTATACTATCCTTGAGAGAGACAGCCATTCCACTTAAACAATATACAGCTATAAGAAGAACATGAAGACAGATTAAAATCATGTGTGAGCTAAATAAACTAACAAAGAGTAGATGGATCAAGAAACCAATATATCACACACAAGCAATACGACATCAAAAAACAATGCAAAAGTCAGTTATAACAATGCGAGAAATGAAATTTCTGAACTTTGGGGAAAAACACACAATAATCATGGAGAAGGAAAATGACCTTGCACCATATCCAATTAAACAGGCAAACTGATGAGTACTGAAGCACTGAGCAGTGTCGGCAACAATGGAAGCTGACATTCGCAGGCCATTCTGAATCAGATGTTGGTGGACTGCACCTACAGCAAGGAGTATTGGAATTGCAGGTCGAGTGGGTTCCTGACAAAAACAACATAATATATATGAAACATGCTCAAGAGTTACATCAAAAGGTCACTGTCCAGGTCGAAAAAACAAGAGAAAGTAATAAATTGCTCAGCAGAAGACAAACCTATAGTAAAAAAGAACAATATGAATTGTCTAAGAGCAAGATGGTTAAACAGATACATCATTAGNAAAAAAACAAGAGAAAGTAATAAATTGCTCAGCAGAAGACAAACCTATAGCAAAAAAGAACAATATGAATTGTCTAAGAGCAAGATGGTTAAACAGATACATCATTAGATCCATAATAATCATCAAACTACAAGTAGCCAAGAAAAAATAGCAAAATACAATATACAGAAATGGTAATATGTAAGATTTAAAGAGAAAAAATAAACAAAAAGAAGAAGAAAAAGTTGAAACAAAATATAAGCAAAATTTGCTATCAAGGGGTAGCAAGCAGTACGATTAGAATTGAGGCAGGTAAGATGTAAAAATTGATTTCTCAAAAGAAACCTGACAATGGATGAGGAGAGTATTACACGATGACATTGAAACTGCAATATAACAAAACACAGTAATATAGAAATTCGAACAGATACAGAAGAACAAGAAAAAAAAATCTGATCAAGTGGGTTAGCATGGCAACATGTGTGCATGAGAAAGGGGGTATAAAATCACCCCCAGTTAAGATTTTAGTTATATGCAAAAAGGCAAGCTGAAAGAGAGCTCACCAACTCATCAGACCTGTCAGAGAGAACAAGCAATTGGGAACCATTTCTAACAGCTTCATCAGCCGCTTGACAAAGCTTATACAGAGTCTTTTCCAAGGAACCATCAACCCCTTTCCTTATGTCAAAAAACGTTGATAGAACTTGGGGTTTTAAGTGGGGATCTTTTAACAACGTTTCAAGCTCCCCTTCATTAAGTACAGGACTTGGCAAAATCACCTGGTTCAAAATATCAACTCATAAATTCCAAAGACAAAAGAAATAAAAAACTAAAATAACATATAGAACATGTAACAGGACAGGACATATAGTAAAAGACGATAACTATTCGGGAATATCTAGAAAAAGAGAAAATGGAAAATGCTAACAAACCTGAGAGGCATTCTCAGGTCCAACCTCTAATATGTTTCCACGCTTCCCAAGATTGACTTCAAGAGACATAACCAATCCTTCTCTAAGAGGATCAATAGCTGGATTTGTAACCTGGCAGAAAGGCATAGAAATTAGGAATGATATAAAATTCTTATGGAAATTTAGAATCAAGAAATAGGCAAAAATCTAAATCTATGACAATAGTCAGAAAATAATGATAGAAAATGAACCTTACAAGAACGATAGCACAAAAAGTACAGGCAAATTGGTCATTCTTATCAGAACTGAAGTCAATATGAGCATCTTAGCCAAACATAATAACTTAACAAATTGGTTGCTTCGGCATACAATATGTGATATGCAATAAAATAGTCTAGTATCCTGGGAGCAGTTCTAATTTTAAGCCTCCCTACATGAGTGCAACTAAGCAGCAGCATAAAACCCAGTTGCAGCCCCAGTAGTGAAAAAGAAAGAGGACTTTTCCAAAGACTGCTATGATCAAGTAGTCATTCCAGCTTTTACAGTTAATTGATGAGAATATAAAATAGGCAGGTAGAAAACTTCATCATAGGATATCCAAGCACACGGTTTAAATCAAATCTTCCCCAAAAACATCATGGGAAAATTAGTGGTGTACTTTAGCCTGCAAAGGAGAACCTCAACAAATGGCAAACTAAAGTACTATTAACTACAGCCCATTCAGAGCTTGCCTACCTCATGCATCATGTTTCTCTTGCCAAGACACCCATGATCAACTACCTCCATTATAAAACTGACAATATGAAGGACAGTTTCAACAGGCAAACCACACCACATATACTGCTCAATAAGCAAACTTTTAAGCTGCTCAGCCTCGACGAGAATCACTTCGCTCTCTAAAGTGTAAAGATGGGAAACCAACAGAATGATTATAATCCTGGTGTGGTGATGCTGAACATACTTTCCCCTTGGTTGCAAGCAAGATTCCATGTAACAAGCCAGTTGCAACCTTTTGCCATCATAAAGGTCTCTTTGGTGGCTTCAACAAAATATAGAGCCCATTGGGTGGGCTTTTATTTTCTGACTGATCCAGTTCGTCAGCAATATACTTTCTTGAGAGCTAAATTTGCCTCTGAAGTTGTTGATTGGACATTAAAGGCCTATTTTATACAGGTTTCAGGATTATAGGAACCGATAATCTATAGCAACCACAAAATTCAACATCACTATCCAATTTCTCATAGATTATCCCCACTCTTTGCCGCAATTTTAACCCTAAACACACCAAATTTGCGTATTTACGCACTGGGAAAACAAGNACCTCAACAAATGGCAAACTAAAGTACTATTAACTACAGCCCATTCAAAGCTTGCCTACCTCATGCATCATGTTTCTCTTGCCAAGACACCCATGATCAACTACCTCCATTATAAAACTGACAATATGAAGGACAGTTTCTACAGGCAAACCACACCACATATACTGCTCAATAAGCAAACTTTTAAGCTGCTCAGCCTCTACGAGAATCACTTCGCTCTCTAAAGTGTAAAGATGGGAAACCAACAGAATGATTATAATCCTGGTGTGGTGATGCTGAACATACTTTCCCCTTGGTTGCAAGCAAGATTCCATGTAACAAGCCAGTTGCAACCTTTTGCCATCATAAAGGTCTCTTTGGTGGCTTCAACAAAATATAGAGCCCATTGGGTGGGCTTTTATTTTCTGACTGATCCAGTTCGTCAGCAATATACTTTCTTGAGAGCTAAATTTGCCTCTGAAGTTGTTGATTGGACATTAAAGGCCTATTTTATACAGGTTTCAGGATTATAGGAACCGATAATCTATAGCAACCACAAAATTCAACATCACTATCCAATTTCTCATAGATTATCCCCACTCTTTGCCGCAATTTTAACCCTAAACACACCAAATTTGCGTATTTACGCACTGGGAAAACAACGTAAACCTCAATTACCATGACATGTTATCTCAGGGCTAGCAATAAGTCGGGTTATTTGGGTAATCTTCTTTGTACCCAACATGGGCAGGTCTGAAAAAAAAAACCGCTGAAGCCAAGTTCATGCTCAAGTTAGTACCAGTTTGTGACATTACCTCTGAATGTCCGTTCTTGTCACTAAGTTCCAAAGCCTAAACATATGTTTATGTAGTCAAAGAAGATAGAACTTTTAGGGGTTAATTTGAAACTTCTTGGTTCCAGAGCCATGGGGGTTATCTTGCCCACCTCAATTTTATCTTTTTTCTTTAACCCTCAACCATTTAGGCTCTCATCTATGTCAAGTTTCCAATAGTTTCATTATATGTAATTAAACCAGCATCTATGCAGTTAGTGTTCCGATTTCTTGTAAGACTGTTTTAGCTGTAAATTTATTGTAGATTGTCAGGCTACCAGGGAAATATAGGCATAAGAGAAACCTAGAACCCCAGACCTCATGCAACCCAAAATCTCAAGCAATAAGAAATTGGACCCCAAAATACATCAAGCAATAAGAGATTGGACTTCAATTTCCAAAACTATCCATTCCTAATTACATTTTCATCTTGAACTTCAATTTCAACAGCTTCATCATCAGATGCCTGCAAGTCTTTTACGCCATCTATCTTTCTCAACATTTTATATTTCCTGATCATCTACATTATTCTTTTCAATACTTGCTTTCCTTTAGCTTCCTTATTCAACAAAAAATTTAGAGTCCCCATATAGAGACAATATAGACTATATAAAACAATAAAAGATGGAATGAGTCAACAAATTAAAAAAATATATCTGAACTGTATAGGACATTGATCTTTCTTTCTCTTTTTGAACCTACACGACGCATAGCGTAATCTATATTGAATAGTATCGTACGATACGTATTGTGCATCGCAAGATAGCCTGTAAAATGATTCACTTATACAAAACATATCATTTTACTTTTATGTCGAAATGCATCATGTGTATTTTATCGTGAATCCTAGGATATTAACAACCATGAGACTAAGCACTTCTCTTATAAGTAGTAGAAAACGCCATTAAGACTCATTTTTTGTGTTCTGCACAAATCGAGGTTAAGTTGCTTCCTATGATTTTAAAGCATTTCAGACATGGAAGCCACATCATGAGATTTTTCAGAATTATCAAAATTCTATTAAACCTGAGCAAACCGTTGCTTGAAATAGTCATAAAGCATATGCGCCTTTTGAGACAGTACTGCCAATGGAATATCATCTCCCATGCAAAATGTAGGCTCCTTCCCTTGTGCAGCCATAGTTTCAATAACCATTTGGACATCCTCGCTGGAGTAGCCATAGGCCCTGTTGTCAATTAAGAATACAAATCAGATTCCAGATGATGAACATGGCATTGATCCATGCCAAAGTAAACTTTTGACCATAAGCCAATATATATATATATATGAATATGATGTGTGTGTGTGTGTGTGTGTGTGTGTGTGTGTATATATATATATATATATAATAAAACAGAAGTATATTTGAATTTTATCCCAGTCATATTTTCCCTTTTAAAACCATCACCAATCATTTACCTCACTCATCATCCTTTTGTCAAACTCAAACGTCAAATCACATCACTTATTTCTATCACTTATTTAATTATTTATATATTTTCTCCCTAAAAATATCACATCACTCATTTCTATCATATATTTAATTATTTAATATTTAATTAATTTATAGTTAATATATTTTGAAAAAATTTAATATAATGTGATCGATTTTTTAGACGTTCAAATTTTTTATTTTATCGTGTCTTCAAGCACGGGTTATGACTAGTATATATATATTATAGTGGCTTTGCACCATGTGTCGTGTTCTCTCAATAAGGAAAAAGTCACAAGATTGAAGATGGTGCTTATTGCATTGATCAAAGTTTTTCCAAGGGCACAAATTAAAAATNGGACGTTCAAATTTTTTATTTTATCGTGTCTTCAGGCACGGGTTATGACTAGTATATATATATTATAGTGGCTTTGTACCATGTGTCGTGTTCTCTCAATAAGGAAAAAGTCACAAGCTTGAAGATGGTGCTTATTGCATTGATCAAAGTTTTTCCAAGGGCACAAATTAAAAATAGAGTTGATTAGTCCTTGCTAAAAGCTTGGGTGACCCTGACTGAGTGCATCAATCAAATATTGCAGATAAACCCAATTGAAAATAACCTAAAATTATATTTATGTGAAATTTTTTTGTAATTGAAAAAATTCTGAACATTATACTGTCTACAGCAGTTGCTGGCTATTATACTGCGAGCAAATTTTTAAACAAAGACATCCATTTCTGCAGAAACTAGGTTACAATAGCATGCAATTTGATCTCTCCCATGTCATGTATTCTCCCCTAGATTTTTGAGGACTATGGATTTTTATTCTGAACAAACTCGGTCAACAAAATTAAATCTAAAACAGATTAGATCTAAAACTTACATTTGAGCGGAATATGCATAAAGTTTTCTAAGGAAAGGAAGGCAAAAGCTAGGAAAGGTCACAAAAGGTAGAAAGTTGTATTCTCACAGAATGCAACTATTGTTACTCGGCCATTTCATAAGATTATGTTGTAGATTCCATAGGTACCATTAAATTTCAACATGGATGATGCCCAAGCATAAATCACTGCTTTTGGACAGAGTATATAAGAAAGCAGTTAAAACCAAGGTTACCTAGATCGTAGGTCGGTTGGGTACCTGGTACGAGTAAGGATGCGGGGTACGTTAGTTTCTCCGGTGCACTGTGGGTAAGATCAGCTAGTATGGTATTTTGGGTCGCAGTTTGCTTTGGACTCTTATCTGGATCATTTTCATTATTACAAAGAATTATATTTATTTAAAATTATATACATAATCAGTTGCTCNCTGGTCGGTTGGGTACCTGGTACGAGTAAGGATGCGGGGTACGTTAGTTTCTCCGGTGCACTGTGGGTAAGCTCAGCTAGTATGGTATTTTGGGTCGCAGTTTGCTTTGGACTCTTATCTGGATCGTTTTCATTATTACAAAGAATTATATTTATTTAAAATTATATACATAATCAGTTGCTCCTTGTTTTAAACTTATAATAATTTGCACACTTTTATTTTATTTATTTATGTATAAGCTATCATTTAATTAACATTTATTTTATATTTTGTTGTACAAGCTATTATGTATAAGCTACTATCATTTATTTCATTTATATATGTATTTAAGTCTACCAATTTCAGGTACTAGTTCCCAGACACTCACATGAGTCGGTGCCAATTAAGAGAGAGAGAGAGAAACATTTGCTGAGTTGAAGGAATCAAAGCAGAGAGAGAAATAGAGGGGCGATGTTAAGGAGAGAGAAATACATTCGTTGAATTGAAGAAATCGAAGCAAAGAGAGAGAAAAAGAGAGATGGGCGATGTTCTGAAGAAGTCGAAGCAAATCGATGTAAAAAAAGAGAGAAAGCGAAAGGGGCAATGTTATGAAGAAGTCGAAGCAGAGAAAGAGAGATCATGAACTGAACTGAAGAAGTCGAAACAGAGAGAGATACTAGTGAACTAAATTGAAGAAGTCGAAGCAGAGAAAGATAGAAAGATTCGTGAACTAAAGAAGTCGAAGCAAAGAGAGAAAAAGAGCCGAAGCAAAGAAGCCCTTGCTCGCTCGTTGGTGGCTGGCGACTGTCGACCGAGGAATACGAAAAGCGGTGTGAGATCCATCGCGTAAGTTACATAATCTTCACTTTGGCTTATTATAACTTAATCTGTGAAATTTGCAATGATTTCATTTGATATGAGTATAGAGCTTATATTAGTGATCTGGGTTTTGAAATAGTGATTGGATAAATATTTGGGGTGAGAGATAGGAGGATCTAGGTCGCGAACAACCCACGTTTGGGGTCGTGCAACCCAGATTGTGGTTCGTTGGGCATCTCACGTTTTCTGGTAACCCTTGTCAGAACCATTCACTAAAGGTGCACTCAACAAGACCCAAACAAAACTTTATTCTATCATATAGGCCTATTGTTCCACATATTCAAATAATATTTGTTCCTTTTTTCAAATGAATTTACTAAATGTCCACAACTCAAACCCAGACAATATATACCTTGGTTATTTACACCAACAATCAAGTCTTTTGAATAGACTTCCCACTAATAATTATAACTTGTAAGCAGAATAAGATTCTAAATAATCAAGGTAAAAAGACAATAGATGAAAATGGCATGCAAACTCTTGTAGAAGGACACTGCCATGTCAGGGACATCTCAAAATAACTAAAAAGGNGTTATAACTTGTAAGCAGAATAAGATTCTAAATAATCAAGGTAAAAAGACAATAGATGAAAATGGCATCCAAACTCTTGTAGAAGGACACTGCCATGTCAGGGACATCTCAAAATAACTAAAAAGGAATACAATTACAAAATTAAAGGGCTTACTGTTGACATCTTAATATTGCTTCACTGTCCATAACTGTTGTCGAGAGGAAGTTGACTGGTTTGAAGGATCGCATGTTTTCATTCACCCACTTTCCATAAGGATTTGATAAGGCAACTCGCTTTTTGACCTCCATATTCTCATAGACCTGTATTTGAATTTTTGAGGACACACACCAAAGTTTCAAGGCACCATATCTCTAATATTTACAATAGTTGAGAAAAAAAGTTGACAATTAAGCAATAAAGAAAATAAAACTAATATATCATACCTATATATTCTGCAAAACTTGAAATTAATGTGTTAACCAAGAACATTAGTCTGACTAGCCCAGTGGGAATATTTATTTAAATAAGCCTAAGCAAGCTAGTTGCACCACTCGCTTTCTTGTAATGCCTTTAGAACAAATGTCAAATTTGGAAGGAAGTGAAAATTAAAGAAGAAACAATTAAATATTATCAATCAATATACGTTCTTTATGGAGATATCTTTATCATGGGCCAATAAAAATCCCTAGCCACCTCCAATGTTGTTAAAGGAAGGTACTATTTGTGCCAGCTTCTGATAACAAGAAAATTAACCACATGCAACAATCAAAACTTAATTCGGGAAGAACTCATATAGCCATTACCGGATATATGTGAAGTACCTGCTGAGTATCTTAATTATATTACATGCAACAAATCTCAACTTCTCGATATTCTCATTATAATCTAACATACATTCTATGCTTCCAAAGATCATTCAGAAAAACAAATATAAAAAGAATAAAATCTTAGGATATACAGGTTTCAGCAAAGATGGAAAAAAAGGGGCAATAAGAAACTGAGAATAGACATTGCATGAATATTCACAACTCCGTTCAGGTTAAAGCTTCACAAAATGATGTGTTTTTGAGAAAACAGATAATTATTTTGCAGAGAACTTGTACAGAATTCATTTAATATATCCAGCAAAGATAAATGTACAATGGATTGTAATTGAATCAACAGTGGAGATGCCAAAGGATAACTGACATACTGGATGCTTAAATAATTCTCAACATTTAATTAGTTGTCATCAAGTATTATCAAACAAGAAGCAAAATTCAGAGTTTAATCTCTGTACAAACCTGACCACTTTGTAGATCAACGCTTATCATCATTCCCGGACCTAAACGGCCCTTCATTGTAATTTTGGAATCATCCACAGGTAGAACACCTACCTGTATGAAAGTGACAGCATATGATCAGTGCCTTAATCACAAAGATTCCATGCCTCGGGTAAACAATTCTAATTGCCTGCATTCAGATGCAATAATGGCTACACATGACAATAAAAAAAAATAGTAGTATAGCATCTCAAGTTGACGATGGATTTAAAAGAACTACCGCATTTCAGCACTCCTAGAGAGATAAACGACCACTTGTTGTGCTTTACTGCTCAAGTAAATTGCCACATTCAAAATCTGAAAAACAATCCTCAATTTTCTTTGGTTCTATAACATTCAAAATAAGGCAGTAACCGCATGCAATACATGGGCTACTTCCTATTATTCATCTACATTTTTTTACTATCACATTAAGCAGCAACATTTAGAAACTTGAAATTTTCCAGAAAGATGGTTTTTCAAATGAGAAAATATTTTTGAAACATGCATGCAAATTTAATATTCCAATTCACTTTACTCCTTGTTCAAAAAAAATTCAATTTACTCCAGCGAAAGAAGATTCATCTCCGACTCCCTCGTAGAGCCTCCCCCTGACAAGAAGAACCAAATATAGACAGGATCTAGAAAGCGTGGACATGGTTATGGGATACTGGTAAGATATGATACCAGCAGGGGCAGGGCGACAAGGCGAAAAAAGAAAAAATGGGATACGGATAAGAATACGCCAAGATACATGAATAAATAAATATATTGTTCAAAGAACCAAATTTCACTTTGAAATGTCCGAAACGTTTTCGTTTCCATGGAACCGAAACGAATATTGATTGAATATCAAAATTCTCATATCTTGAGGTGTTTTCGATCAATGTTTCGGAAATAAATTTTCAATTTTTTCTTTGGTCCCATCCTGTTTACNCCAAATATAGACAGGATCTAGAAAGCGTGGACATGGTTACGGGATACTGGTAAGATATGATACCAGCAGGGGCAGGACAAGGCGAAAAAAGAAAAAATGGGATACGGATAAGAATACGCCAAGATACATGAATAAATAAATATATTGTTCAAAGAACCAAATTTCACTTTGAAATGTCCGAAACGTTTTCGTTTCCATGGAACCGAAACGAATATTGATTGAATATCAAAATTCTCATATCTTGAGGTGTTTTCGATCAATGTTTCGGAAATAAATTTTCAATTTTTTCTTTGGTCCCATCCTGTTTACAAAATATTTACGAAACATTATTGAAAAAGCATTTCCGTTTCTAGGCTAACCGAAACTATACACCGAAAGAAAATTTTGATCCTTGATATCGTTATGTATTTCAAATAGCATAATATGTTATGAGATTAAATATTGATGATCCATAGATGTATAGTTGACAAAAAAATAATAGATTGTCAACAAACCGATTGTATNGAGGCAAAGAGAGAGAGCAAGAGAGAAAATTCGTAGGATTGTAACTCACACTGCATTCAAATTTTGGCATTGAAAGATACATAGTAGAAGATCGTGACGTCCATCAAGCCGACTATTCAGTTTTCGTTCGTGTNCGAAACTTTTTTGAAACATCACCAAAAGCATTTCCGTTTCTAGGCTAACCGAAACTATACACCGAAACAAAATTTTGATCCTTGATATCGTTATGTATTTCAAATAGCATAATATGTTATGAGATTAAATATTGACGATCCATAGATGTATAGTTGACAAAAAAATAATAGATTGTCAACAAACCGATTGTATATTACGATAAACTAGATATTTTAAAATATATTAAACAAATCCATAAATCGTAATTCATAGAAAAATAATGGAAAATTTTGATGAAGGTATTCTAATGAACAACCCATTTAAAATATCAAATACACAACAAATTATATTAAGATATTCAAATCGGTCTCTTGCTTAGACTTTTAGATGGGTAAAATCTTAAATACAAGAATAGTGGCATGTAGGAGGGTCTGGTTCAATAAAGACCACACTGAATAGGTCAATGGTTTTGAAGCTCAAAATTACGTTTTTTCCTTTAACGTTCTTTCATTTTTTGTTCTAAAGAAAATTATTTTGCTTAGTAAAATTATTTACTTCATAGCTTATTTCACATAATCAAAAATGATATATTGAGCCCCAAGTATCCTCAATGTATCGGCTGCTTATCTATGTCATTTATTAAACGTATCGGTTGCATATCCTTGGCTTATTGTATACAAAATTAAAAACATTTGAAAAGTATCTTAAGACATATTCGGTCATATCGGAGGTGTATCCGCATCTGATAGGTATCCAATGCAAATACTTCACCCTTCATAAGGTATCTATGCTTCATAGGACACGATATAATAGCCACAATTGGCAGAAGGAAAGATTGTGTACTCCAATAGTGACCATTTAGCAATATGGATTTTTTCTAACCTTAAATTTGCATGGGTTCATGANGTTCTAAAGAAAATTATTTTGCTTAGTAAAATTATTTACTTCATAGCCTATTTCACATAATCAAAAATGATATATTGAGCCCCAAGTATCCTCAATGTATCGGCTGCTTATCTATGTCATTTATTAAACGTATCGGTTGCATATCCTTGGCTTATTGTATACAAAATTAAAAACATTTGAAAAGTATCTTAAGACATATTCGGTCATATCGGAGGTGTATCCGCATCTGATAGGTATCCAATGCAAATACTTCACCCTTCATAAGGTATCTATGCTTCATAGGACACGATATAATAGCCACAATTGGCAGAAGGAAAGATTGTGTACTCCAATAGTGACCATTTAGCAATATGGATTTTTTCTAACCTTAAATTTGCATGGGTTCATGAGCCTTTGACAATGTCAAGCGTAGCATACATGTTTGGCCATACATATGCAGCTTAAGCTTTTAGGACATGTGGTTGTTTAACGTTATCAAAGTTTTAGTTTAGAGGAACTCAGGTTCAATTTCTATGTTTGGCCATACATATGTAGTTTTAGGAACTGATTTCTATGGTATATAATAATTTCGGGCTTCGGTTCTTGATATAAATCTATGAATGTGATTCAGAGACTTGACTTAATGAATGGAATAGAGACAGAGGAGGATCTAGCTTATTGTTTTCTTTTTCTTTTCTCTTCCATCTTTTTTATTCTCGGGTTCTAAATTCTTAATTTTCTCTCTTTTTGATTCTCTGCAATTTTCTTTTTTTTTTTCCTCCATCAATCTTTCGGAGAATAAGTGNCTAGCATACATGTTTGGCCATACATATGCAGCTTAAGCTTTTAGGACATGTGATTGTTTAACGTTATCAAAGTTTTAGTTTAGAGGAACTCAGGTTCAATTTCTATGTTTGGCCATACATATGTAGTTTTAGGAACTGATTTCTATGGTATATAATAATTTCGGGCTTCGGTTCTTGATATAAATCTATGAATGTGATTCAGAGACTTGACTTAATGAATGGAATAGAGACAGAGAAGAGGATCTAGCTTATTGTTTTCTTTTTCTTTTCTCTTCCATCTTTTTTATTCTCGGGTTCTAAATTCTTAATTTTCTCTCTTTCTGATTCTCTGCAATTTTCTTTTTTTTTTTCCTCCATCAATCTTTCGGAGAATAAGTGTTAAAACTGATAGAATTATATACTAAAAGCTTACTTTTTGTAATGAAATTCAGTCTATTATTTAATACAAGTTCTTCATTTTCTATTGAGAATCTGTATTGGTAAAATATTTGCATTATATTAAATATATACTATGCATATGTGTCTTTTATTTTACATTGTAGATAATCTGGTGTGTACAGTTTAACTTGTACACAAAAGATCACATTATCGAATTCTTATATGATATGAGTAAAGGTTTAGATGGAATTGGACACACTATCTATAAATCCTAGTGCAAACTTTTGTCATAGTCTGTCATGACTATAGGAGACTATTTGACTTCTCAGATTGTTGTACTAGTTCACTTTGTGTATTGAATAAGATCGTTATTGAGGTTATTATCTTTTTAATAAAAAAATATCTCATGATTATTATGATTGGTTAAGCTCATCCTAAAATATTTAATTGACGTGTGTATATAATAATTGTCATTTTAATTCATCAATGAGTGAGATTCAAATTGTGAGTCAATAAAGTCGATGAATAGGTAGATAACATTATTTATATGGTGAAAATTAATTATTAAAAGAAATCACGTCACGACATTTAAATGGATTGATAATGTACTCGTGAGCAAATTTATAAGTTTTGTGCATGTCAAACCCAAAGGTGGATTTAATTATCTGACATGACAGATGAGTTGAATGGTAAAATCTCAAGGATAAAAAGAAGACAATTACATATAATTGTTAGTAATTTAATTAATTGATGAGCATCTGTAATCTTAAACATGAGGAGATTATAAAAAATTTAATAACGAGGAGCTCGAAATATAATTTTGAAATAAGGCCTAAGAGATCAATAATAAGTTTTTGGTGGACTAATTTATTATTAATAGACCATAGGATGTTTGTTCTAAGTTGTACATAGGATTCCTAGTCACATTGGAAGTCCGGTCCTTATTTCTCCTTAAAGTCTCTACTATAGCCTACAAATACATGCAATCTTTGGTTCTCTTAGTCATACTTTAAATCACGTTTAGAAGAGGCAAAGAGAGAGAGCAAGAGAGAAAATTCGTAGGATTGCAACTCACACTACATTCCAATTTTGGCATTGAAAGATACATAGTAGAAGATCGTGACGTCCATCAAGCCGACTATTCAGTTTTCGTTCGTGTTGTTCTACTCGTCAAAGGTAAACCCTAATTTTGGTTTGTAAGGTTAACAGACGAATAAATTTTTGTATTCGATTATACACGTCGTCAACGGATCTTAGGACTGCCATTCCAACAAACGCTACAAGACATAAAGAGTATCACAAATGGTAAGTTCATAAGCAAATGGTCCTCTCCTAAGAAAAGACACCATAGGCAACAACACTAATTACGCAGAAGCTACCGGAACCAAAAATAACAATCTTCACAGACAAGCTAACTACATGCTCATTCAATACAGTTAACACTCAGGCTCAACTATATGCTGATAGGGCAGCTTCTGATTGGCGAAATTCATGCGAATGTAATGACGTGCTCATGACGACATAATGATAACTCAGAGTTGTGGTCACCGAATATTTCAGAAATATAAGTTACTTTCACAGTCAACTCATCACGCTGGCACAATTTGAAGTGAAAACTAAATACAAACTTATAGCATATGGTGGGGGCTTTTAGCACCATAGGTGGATAGTACCCCCCAGGCTTTCATGGCTACCTTCCCAAAAGTCTAGATCACTGTGGCTACAGTACCTCAAATGCACTATCCTCCCTTTTCCTTTTCAATTTTTCTTGGTTTTTTTCCGCGGCTATTTTTGTGTGTGAATGGGTTTTAAATTGTTTATGTCCCTTCTTTCATTTCTTAAAGAAGGGCATAGCTTCTGTGTACGTCCAGTATTCAATACTTTGGTTGGACAGTGAAAAAATAGGCCATTTTTAATGGACTAGGCCAAATCTATGATGTGCATGCATAATATCATAGATGCCAGGCCAGCTGCACTCCATTAAGCTTCTTTGGTAGCTCACAAATCCAACCTCAGCATCAAAACATGAACCAAGGTGATATTCAGACGTTCCATGCCCCCAAAAGAATTTAATGGTCCGCAATAAAAGTGATAAAGGAAACAGACACACCTCGGATGCAACATAGACGACATTATCTCTTGTCCGCCAATATCTAGCAGGACGAAGTCCATTTCGATCAAGACAAGCTCCAACTGTTTTTCCATCACTGAGACAAATGCAAACATTGATGAGACAGGAAAAGGAATGAAAGTTTAAAGAATAAATTCCATAAATTAGTAAGAAGAAAAGTCAACAGCACATTAAGTTATCTATAGTGGAATACTGTCTTCTGGATACAAGTAACAAACTTGCCATCTTTGTCCAAGGAAAACACAAGTTTTAAGGGGTGCCTATAAACTTGCAGTTTGTTTTGAACTGAAAGACTCTTGGTATCAAAGAGACATAGATGTTTTGGCTCCCTGAGACTTATTTTTGACAACCTACAGTAAATGTTATTTAGCAGACATGCATGGTCAGATATCGGCATCAAGTATTAATTTCTATTTTCAAGTCCTTCCAATAAAAATGCCATAAGTTTGTGGCAAAAGTAACTGAACTCCTTTGTTCCCTTATCCATGCGCCAACAAGTACCAAAACCCTGCTGCATTACCCTTGAGGAGGTTGGGAGATAACACTCAGGATAACGGTTGGCAAGACAAAAGAGCACTCAGAGAAACTATGAATGAAAGAGAGTGTGGTCAACTCAACATGTCCATAATCATGTGTGAGGGACTATCATAAAAACAAAGTGATCTACAACAATGGATTGACAGCCATTTTAATCACACTTCATATTGACCACAACATCATCATTTACATTAACAACATTATTCATACAGACAATACATTATATACTGGAAATAATGCAACAAATTTCATAGTTATACACATTATAACTGTGGTAAACACCTACGCTTTCTGCTAATTTTCTGAACCTCCTAAAGAAAGGCGCATGTTGGCTTTTGACGCTCCTGTTCTATGATGCTATTTTGATGACCCTAAAACCATCATGATACAAAATGAAACCAGACATGCACAACTGACCAAAAGAGATACTGTTTGTGTATCTGTTTCCAGCAGACTTGCTACTCCCTGCAACGACACTTCTTTGATGCTGAGAAGAATTGCACCTCTAGTTCTTCTTAGTCCACAAAATACTCATGAAAGAAAACTGCGTCAGGGTAACGTTAATGACTCTAGGCCATCCTCTTCCTAAGCCCTTGGCACATGCAATAATCATTACAAGTTGGCCAAAACTAATCCTCCAAAATCATGGTTTCTCTGCCAAGCTATGCCACCGCCATTGCCATAATTTCTCAAGTTAAATAGCTGGCTTTAATAATTTTGAGTTTTTTCAGTTACAAATTCAGCATCTATAAATACAAGTTCTTACATGTCAAATGATACAAGTTACATTTGGAACTGTCACCTGAATAAGAGTAAGGCAGGTCCATCCCAAGCTTCCATTTGACCCTTGTAGTAATCATAGAAATCAACAACCTAAAGAGAAAAAATCATCTGAGTCTTGCTCCATCTTGAATGTCAAACTGAAGTTGGAAAATCTCAGAATACTAAAAATAAGGAGCGATCCAATCTACAGATTAATTCAGCAGTAAATATTAAAGGCAGAGTCAAATAGTAAAAAGGACGTGAAATCAGAAAGAAATACTACTTATACATTTACCCAGAAGACCTTTGCTACAAGACCATTCATGATGCCCTCCATTCAAATTGTTAACCGCCAACATATATTACCTCAGGATATTTGATACTCAATGTTGGATGCTTTTTGTATGCNCCCAGAAGACCTTTGCTACAAGACCATTCATGATGCCCTCCATTCAAATTGTTAACTGCCAACATATATTACCTCAGGATATTTGATACTCAATGTTGGATGCTTTTTGTATGCCTCTGGGACAAGAATCATTAGAGCTTCCTCAGGGGTGCGACCACTTCTTAGCAGCAACTAAACAGAATAAAAGGACCAAATTAATCAGCCAATGAAGAATGTGAAAATTGGAAGGAAGGCTTTTGCAATAAACAAATCAAATAATAAAAGAGAAAAAAAAAAGATACAAGGGTTAGATGAAACAAAGGAACGCCCCCCTCCCCCCCAAAAAAAAAAAAAAAAGAGAGAGAGACAGTGCAAATTCAGACAAAAAACACCAAAATATTACAAAGAAGATATACAGTGACACACGGAAACGTGGAAATAATAATTGTACATGGATTGTCTTCAAATCTATGCTGTTGTGGCTGACAAGTGGGAACTCGTCTCTGTCAAATATACCTTCACCCAATTGCCTAGGATCACCTATTTGCAGTTTATCTTTGCCTATCTAATGCCATGCCCCCAAACTAAATTTTCAGAAGACCACATTCTTTTGGCCTCCTCCTATCCAGCTAGCTGCTCCAACTTGAATAAACCAGTGCATTGGACTAGTCCATTCATTGGCCCTACGTATCTAATAATAATAAAATATTTGGATACTTTACGGATAGTTTTGTATGAGAGCAACATGTATAATTTTTTAATTTAATCGTTCACATCTCCTTTCGAATTCACATATCATACAAGACATCAACAAAAATTCATACTACTTTGAAAATACATGAGTACTATTTAAACATTATCTATTATTACATGTTAAAAGAACATAAAATGAATTTATTACATCATAATCTTAGCAACAAATCCTTCTAAACAAACCAATTAAACAAATATTAGTTTTGATTCCTTTAATTAGTCACTTTATTTTGTCAATACACCATGAGGATATGACATATACTTTACTAATTTTCCTTATATGTTAAAGAATTGCCAAAATATATATTTATTAAGTTGGTATATAATAGTAAAAATATGAAATATATTTTATTATAAAACGTATCCCGGTCATATCCGTATTCTACTTTTTAAAATTTTGTCATATCTCTAAATCCATATTGGATCTTACGCATATCTCATATCCATATCTGTGCTTCATAGGTGCAGATTCAACACATTCAACACGACAACAAAGATGAATTGGAATCGAACTATCATTTGTGATATTTTATTTTAACCTCTCAAGAGCATATAGACGAATATGTGAAGTGGGTTTGAAAGAAGTTTTGAGGAGGATTGGAACTGACGATAAGAATTAGGAAACTTGCTTTCATATTATTTTAGAATTTTAGATTTATTTCCCTTCCAGTCCACATCACAACATTGTTCTCTGTCATATTCAAGAGATTAACATTTCTTTAAAACTGATACAAGTGAAATATGTTTCGTCCAGTTCAAAAAAAAAAAGACAGAAATATGTGTGAAAGCTGTAACAGTTCCGTCTAAAGAGTAAAACTATCTTCCAAATGCAGTTTGCTCTTCTTTTCTTGTTTTTCATACTTCTCTGTTGGGAAATCATTATCTGCAAAGCATAATGACAAAACATTGCCAGCAGCAATTATCTAAATATATAAATACAGAAGTGATNACTATCATTTGTGATATTTTATTTTAACCTCTCAAGAGCATATAGACGAATATGTGAAGTGGGTTTGAAAGGAGTTTTGAGGAGGATTGGAACTGACAATAAGAATTAGGAAACTTGCTTCCATATTATTTTAGAATTTTAGATTTATTTCCCTTCCAGTCCACATCACAACATTGTTCTCTGTCATATTCAAGAGATTAACATTTCTTTAAAACTGATACAAGTGAAATATGTTTCGTCCAGTTCAAAAAAAAAAAGACAGAAATATGTGTGAAAGCTGTAACAGTTCCGTCTAAAGAGTAAAACTATCTTCCAAATGCAGTTTGCTCTTCTTTTCTTGTTTTTCATACTTCTCTGTTGGGAAATCATTATCTGCAAAGCATAATGACAAAACATTGCCAGCAGCAATTATCTAAATATATAAATACAGAAGTGATAGCTCATACTTCTGCAGCACTATCAAGATTTGCAGAGTCAGAAGCCTTTGGGTTTCCATAAGGACAAATCTCATTTTCACGACCATGCCAAACAGGAGATTTCAATGAGGTCTCCCGAGATTGCATCCAGTTCAAATTTCCCTGCACAAAGACTATGTTATCAATATGTATAGACCAAGTTACAATGTGTGTATGCAAGAAAAAGTAGGTGATAGACCATATTGTAACCTGTANCGATTTCAATGAGGTCTCCCGAGATTGCATCCAGTTCAAATTTCCCTGCACAAAGACTATGTTATCAATATGTATAGACAAAGTTACAATGTGTGTATGCAAGAAAAAGTAGGTGATAGACCATATTGTAACCTGTATGGTATTGATCTCTCCATTATGGCCAAGCAACCTCATCGGTTGAGCAAGTGGCCACCTGGGGCTAGTATTGGTGCTGTACCTCCGATGGTAAATAGCAAATGGGGATCTATAAAGATTGCTCTGGAGGTCAGAATAAAATCTTGCAAGAATCTCTGAACGAAGCATTCCCTTGTAAACTATAGTTCGGTTGGACAACGAACAGAAATAAAGCTCACTCGCCCAAGCTTCTGATTTCACTGCTCTTTCAATTAATTTTCGGCAGACATAGAGTTCTCTTTCAATGTCATCAATATTTTCTTCTTTAACAACCCTAACAAAAACCTGCTGTATATTGGGCATGGTTTCTCTTGCGTAGTACCCAACTACAGAAGCATCAACAGGGACTGGCCTCCATCCAAGCACCTCAAGACCCTCTTGCTTAAAAATGTTTATAATGACTACAGGAGCAATAAAATCAACGTTCAATAGAGAAAATCCCAAAGGTTGCTGTTGCGGCGAGTGACCACTAAAAAATAGATGATGATTGAATATTTTCTGACAAAATATATCATTATAGAAGCATAACCATGCATGTGGCAAGAACAACACACACGCATGTGCCATAAAAAACTAATACATGCATGTTTATGGATATATCTGAAAAAACAAGATCATCTTATGGAAATAGAGAACTTTGTAAAAACATAAACAAAGAATTGATTAATACTAGAGAACCATATGTAACCATAAAACACAAAAGCAACATTGTTGATGCTGCAGCTACTGGAATAATGGAGGAGCAGGCTAAGAAACACTAGAACCAACAAAGAAAAAATCCAGTTTATAGATCTAGAAATTCATATATTCCAAAAGTATAGGGATCACTGATACTGTTTGAGATCATCTTGAAGTTTGTGAGGTCGACTGGGAAGGGTCAGCTTGAAGTCTTTGAACATCAAAGGTAATTCATTCTTTGAACCAAGTTTGAAGACACCATTTACCACACACATTACTAGAGGACCTATAATTTCATCACGTAGTTTAGCACTCCCATGTTGTATATAGAACCAGAATTTAATAATTAAGTTCTTCTTACAGTTTTAATTTGTATTTCCTCACAAAGCTGGTCCTTCTTTCCTGACAAATAGTTAAGTAATAAGCTGGTAAGCAAGGATGCCAAAACCTGCATAACCAATGGCTCCTTCTCCTCTCCACATGTCCAAACTATTGTCAGCTGGTTTAACAGTTATTTCATATGTAATCTGACAGTAAATGCCAGATCCCCCAACCCGACGCCAGGAGGATGATCTTCAGAAAAGGCAAAACCTACCATCCACTATGTAGTTTATACAGACTCAGTTAAACTGTCTTGTAAGAGAAGGAAAAAAGAAAAGAAAAAAAATGGTTTACAAATGGTAGCCTCTCTTAAAACAAGTAAAATTAACAATATTATAACACCGCTTATATTAGTTGAGTACGAACACAGCCTTTTTAGTATATGCATTTCAAAGCTCCAAAAGCTGACCTGTTTTCGCTTTGTTCACAAGGTCATCGTCCTTGGGAAGAAAGACCATTCCAACACCCGTGTGCAACTTATCAATGGAACCAATCCCTTGTTTGCCAGCCCAATCATTAAAAAGATCCCAGGGAATTGAAGTCATCAATCCTGAACCATCACCAGAGTCATTATCCGCTCCACAACCTCCACGATGTTCCATGCAACCAAGAGCAGTAACAGCATCCTTAATAATCTCATGGGATGCTTTGTTTTCCAAATTGGCAATAAACCCAACTCCACATGCCCCTCTTTCCGATAATATATCATCCAAGTGTGCCACCTAAAAGCATTAGAACTAGACAATGAGGATGGATGGAAACACATGGAAATTTTCAGATGTCCCACATTAAATAAGTTGATACTGTCACTCTAGGACCCTAAACCCTTTAGTGTGACATTACAAAGAACACTAGGTGGGGTAGAAAAAGAACAAAGAAGAAGCACAATGAATAAAGAAACCAAAATGCATAAAACATAATAGCTATATGAAAAGCATTGTGAATGTCAATCAGTATAAAACCACAGGAGGTTGTCACTATCTCATACCTGTGATGTTTAATGCTACTAGAGAAACTCTACATGGAAAATAAAAGCATTTATCACAAATGAAACATTTTCACATATTGAAGGTGAACTGATTGAACTATACACATTCAGAGTTGAACAGCTTCAGGAACAAAAAGAAAAACATTAATTAAGTCCGAGCAGTATAACTCGAGAAGGATTTTGAACCAGCATTCAACAATTTTAAACACCCCTTGAAAAAATAATGGCATCGGTGGGCTTCTCAAAATTAGATGATACCTCAAATAAACCATGAACCATGACCTATCATGACACGCTATGGTTGGTTTAAAGAATGTATGCTTAGTTAGAAGGGCTCATTTGATTCAGTTCTTGGATCAGACCACTATGAAGTGTGCTTATCAGATAACCTAGTTCCAATATTATGAAGTATTTTCAAATAAAATTCTATGTCATAAAATAGAAAAACAAATTTCCGAGAATATAATTAGAATGTAGAACTTTTTTCATTTACATCTACAGGTTTAAATATCAGAACTGATGGCATCCCATATTAAGTTGAGGCAGTTTTAAAAAGTAAATCCAATGGAGGGCACCATTAATAAAATAGAAAAACAAAAGCCAAAGAAGCGTGTAGGATCAAAAAGTTTGGATCTCTAAAATAAAGTGTTCCCAAACGCAAGTGTCCACATTTCCGAATGATGTACTGAAATGCAATTCACTAGGACATTATATTTTCCGAGAATATAATGATGTACTGAAATGCATTTCCAAATGATGTACTGAAACGCAAGTGTCCCTCTGACACCAAGCTGTGAAAAATCCTTAAAAAATTATCAGCTATTAATCAACCCCTCTACAGCTGCAAAAGATTGTCTATGGCGCTGTCCCAGGAAATACTTTTAAATTAAACAGAAAAGCAGGAGTAAAGATTACAGTTATCTTCCCAGTCAACAATGACTAAGAAGATCTATCATCCTATCCTCCTTGCACAGACAACAATTGGGAATACAATTTCCCAAATGATCAAAATATTAGTGGTGAGAATGTTCCCATGAGTCAACTGTCACCCAACTCAAACATTAACTATCATAAAAAGTACCTAGCATAAACACACTCTATCATTAAATTTATATTCCTTCCTACTAAATTTCCATTTAAAATCCTACCGTAAACCACTACATAAGATTTACTTGATTTCAAAGGTCTCCACAAATTTTATCCTCTCCTTCAACCAACCCTTAATGGTACAATCTATTATGAAAAAAGTATCACAACCTCATTTTCAGTCATCAACCCTTTGAAACTGATCACTCAACTACCAAACCACCCATTGAGTGTGCATATACCTACAAAAATAGCTTCTGTTTATCCATAGAGATCTTACAAAAACGTGTAAAAGTTTTTTCTCACCTTGTCTATCTGTAGAGGCCTCATAGAACCATGAAAAAGCTTCTTTTTTTTTTAATACTTTCCTCCACGCCATATGTCAAGCCAAAAGCTCAACTTATTCTCCCAGTCCAGCAATGAAGTAAGCATACTTGAATGGCCATCCACAATCAACCTAGTCACGTCCAGAGTGTTCCAAAGACTCCAAACAGACCCCTGGCACATGCCTGTATTTGAAAGCTACCACCCTCTGCGAAGCTAGATTGCACTGCCCTTCATTGCTTAGGTGCTACAACACTCAAAACACCCTGCCCAGTCCACAACATGGTTTTATCGACCCTAAATGACAAGTGCTAAAAATTGCTTGAGGCTCCAAATATGATCACGTATCAGCCGAGAGAATTACCGCATCAAAAGGTCAGTCCATGGTGCACTTTACATTTAGTGTATGGACATCCAAAAAGCAACCAGTGTCCAAATATATTCACGTGGACTTTAAAACCACATCACAAACATCAAGAGTACACATATGCTAAAAATCATAACGAATTTCTTAAAATCCTCACACGCAGACACACCTCCATACAAAGTCAATACCGCTAATTCAAAGCTGTCCTACCCAACCAAGAATAATTCAAATAACAACTTTCATGAAAAAATTTAAAGAACAATAGCAAAATTACTTGATTTAATTTCAGAAATGCCACTGCCACGTAAAGCTACAACAGTTCAGCAATCCAACAAACATTGAGCTCAAGAAAAGCCAACAGACCTTCCGTTTCAAATCCGAAACTTGTTCAGAGGCATTGCTGACGCGTTCCAGATCAAGAACAGCTCTGATTGCTGACCAGTTTTTCGTCGCTAACCTGTGAAAACTCCGGCCGTTCAAATCTCCGATTCTTCGCCTAGTTCGCTTCGATTTACAACAAAGACCCACAAAATCCACGAACACAAAGTCCCTGTTGGCCGCAAACAGAGAACTACCCTTCGGAGGCTGACCATTGGAGTGTAGTAACTGAGGAATGTGAGGCACAGACCGTACTAACATGTCTGGTTGATCAGTGAGAGAAGGAAATTGTAGAGAGAGAGGTGTATGTATATACGGACGTGTAGATATAGAGAGAGAAAGTGAGAGAGGGTTTTAGAGAGAGAGAGAGAGAGAGAGAAAATGGTGGGTTAAGGAGGTAATGGGATTGTGTGGAGAAGGAGAAGATAAAAGGAGGAGGAGTTGGAAGAAATCACGACCACCCAGCCTCCTCTGGCGCCTACTTCGTCTTCGTCCTTGTTTGCTATGTTTATGTCTCGTATAAATTCACTTGAGCCCCAAGAAATTTAATAAATTAACTTGGAGATCTCAACATTTGCATATTTATATCAGTAGAAATAATCTTGCGTTCACCAAAATTTTTATCCAACTGTCAATACCGAATGATGTGGCATTCTCATAGTTTTTTTTTTTTTTTGTTTCAACTGGCGGGTTATTCGAATTAACTTATGCATAACTAATTTCCTCTTCAATCCAGTTTACAATTCGTCNGACATTTGCATATTTATATCAGTAGAAATAATCTTGCGTTCACCAAAATTTTTATCCGACTGTCAATACCGAATGATGTGGCATTCTCATAGTTTTTTTTTTTTTTTTGTTTCAATTGGCGGGTTATTCGAATTAACTTATGCATAACTAATTTCCTCTTCAATCCAGTTTACAATTCGTCCTTATTAGTTATTACCACTTTAATTTTTTTTTTTTTCTACAACTTGCATCGACTATTCTCACGAATTCTGAATCGACCACCATAATTCGAGCTAACAGCATGTCTCCTGATGAACAAAAATTATTGACCCTTAAAGGATGCGAAAAGTATTAAACATAAGACCTCTTACTTATAAAAAAATAAATTTAACNATTTTTTTTTCCTACAACTTGCATCGATTATTCTCACGAATTTTGAATCGACCACCATAATTCAAGCTAACAGCATGTCTCCTGATGAACAAAAATTATTGACCCTTAAAGGATGCGAAAAGTATTAAACATAAGACCTCTTACTTATAAAAAAATAAATTTAACCACTAAACCACTTCTAAAAATTTCTTAAACCGATTGTTGACTCGTTCAGGTTACATTCTCATAGTCTTCATCTATTATGGGTGGAGGCTATCCCACGTCAGATAGTTTTAGAAAGTGTGAGTGTCTTTATATGGGGCTATGGCACTTACACAAGTGTAAGTTGGNAAACCACTTCTAAAAATTTCTTAAACCGATCGTTGACTCGTTGAAGTTACATTCTCATAGTCTTCATCTATTATAGGTGGAGGCTATCCCACGTCAGATAGTTTTAGAAAGTGTGAGTGTCTTTATATGGGGCTATGGCACTTACACAAGTGTAAGTTGGTGTAGTTCTCCTCAATCCAAAAACACTATTATATTGGCCTGAAATAAAATAAACTTATAAAAATGTTAGTGAATGTAGAAACTAGTAAAATATAATTTCTATGAGCGGGATGGGTCGGGTGGCTAGCCCAAACCCACTATCCAAGCCTAGAAATTTNTGTAGTTCTCCTCAATCCAAAAACACTATTATATTGGCCTGAAATAAAATAAACTGATAAAAATGTTAGTGAATGTAGAAACTAGTAAAATATAATTTCTATGAGCGGGATGGGTCGGGTGGCTAGCCCAAACCCACTATCCAAGCCTAGAAATTTTATTGACCTGACCAACCAACATAGATAAAAAGAAGGGTAATTTAGAAGTCGATATAAAAATTTAGGCTTATTTGAACTAAATTACATNCCAGACTAATTTTTTGACCTGACCAAACAACATAGATAAAAAGAAGGGTAATTTAGAACTCGATTTAAAAATTTAGGCTTATTTAAACTAAATTACATTAAAAAAATTTATTTAGTCAAAAGTACATTTTTAAAAAAAAATAATTAAAAGAGTATTTATTATTCCATTAGTTTCTCTCTTTCTCTCTCTGTTACTCTTTCATTCTATGATCCATATTTTCCCTATATCTATTTCTCTCTCTTCATCTCATATTAATAATAAAATTTTAAGTATGTAAAGATTNTGACCAACCAACATAGATAAAAAGAAGGGTAATTTAGAAGTCGATATAAAAATTTAGGCTTATTTGAACTAAATTACATTAAAAAAACTTATTTAGTCAAAAGTACATTTTTTAAAAAAAAAGATTAAAAGAGTATTTATTATTTCATTAGTTTCTCTCTTTCTCTCTTTGTTACTCTTTCATTCTATGATCCATATTTTCCCTAATCTATTTCTCTCTCTTCATCTCATATTAATAATAAAATTTTAAGTATGTAAAGATTCAATTTAATTTTTTCATCTCTCTATTTCCCTATTTTGTTTTTCTCTTTTTCTCGCTCCTTCTCCACTTATTTCATTATTTTCTCCCTTTTTTCTCTCTTATATCAACGTTACACAACACAATTATATTAATCAGTTATACTAATTAGTTACAATTACTCTATAATACACTAAACAGTTATTCATGTGTTATAATAAATCAAGCAGTTATACTACAATTATACGAAATTACAACACCAACTCAATTTATTATTTAATTATTTACATAAATCAAAGAGTTACACCATTTAGTATCATGACATGGTTACATCAATTATAAACACCAAATTGAGTTTATTATTACACAAAAGACTTAGACATTGTACTAAATTTGTTATATATGATTGGTATAACGATGTAACGATACGAAATAGTATAACTATTTAGTTTATGTAAACAACTGCGTGACAAATTGGATTGATGTTATAAATTTTTGTAATTATTTAGTGTAACTGTTTGATATATTAGAACGCATAAATAACTGTTTAGTGCATTATAAGACAATTTTAACTGACTGGTGTAATTAGTTAGTATAATTGTGTTGTTATAATGTTAATATAAATAGAGAGAGAAAATAGGGAGAGAGAGAGATGAAAAATAAATCAAATTTTTACATATGTGAAAAGAAAATAAATTATCAATGATAGATATAGAGAGAAAATAGGGGAGAGATGGGAAAAGTAATGGGGAAAGAGAGAGAGATGGAGAGAAAAAAGAAGAAAGACGGTGAGAGAGTCTAATGAAATCTTTATATATTTGATTAGATATATAACTGTCAATCAAAAATGCATAATTTAAGGGAGGGTATTTAGATAAAACAGTTTTAATTTTATTTAAATTTTATATATAAACACAATATATTTTATTAAAATTGAACTGAATAAAATAAACAATTTATTCATACATTTTTCCTCAAATAATCCAAAAAAATATATTCACAGCTAAAAAAACCCTAAAAAGAAGGGTTTTTCGATGGCCGGTCCAACATGGGAAACCTTTAGGTCATGAAGTAAAATATGTGTTCTTTTGGGTTCTTAAGGACAATCAAACTCATAAAGACCTAATTACACTCATATCTAACATAAAGGTTCAAAAAACATAAACTTACTCTAAAATTGACGCTATTGACTCAAAATTGCAACGAGTCAAAATTCAAAATCCAAAATCTTTAGGCAAACTTCNGGATGATGAAAACTCGCCACGTGAACAATGTGGAGTAGAAACATTCAGAATTGTTTGGCAATAAGATTGTAGAGTTAGATTTAACTCGGTATAATTTATAAAAACTCCAGTGCGCAAAATTTACACATTTTAATGGAAGTCCTTTTGTTCATGAGCGGTCAAATATTTCCAATCGTAGGTTGATTCGAATTGTATTCTTTCCTTCTTGTCTAAAAAAAAATTATTTATATGTATTCCTATGATGGAAGTAGAGAATCATCCTCTTAGAAATTAACCACCCAAAAAACATCCGGATGGTTACCTTGTCTCTTCTTCAATTGCATACAAATAATTTTATTCAACTAAGTTTTGTATGTTAAACTCCTAATTTGAGCTAATTTAGTTTGATTATACAACAACTATACGGTAATATTTTCTCTATAGAACAAAAAAATGGTCCATTGTAGTAACTATGTGCGATTGATATTGTCTTAAGTACTATGTTCTGTAACTTTAGTTACCATTAATGAATATAATTTGACTAATATTATGTGTGTTGTAATGTAAAAAATCATGTGATTTTTACCCTAAAAACTTACACGATTCCTAAAATATGAGCAACAATATCCTTGTCGATAAAGAGTTTCGTAACAGACATAGAGTTAATGACCTCTTTGCACATTGGCTGGTGTGTTCGAATCTTTTAAAATTTGGCCAAAGTTCAAAGCATGAAGTTGGGTCTGCCATCAGAATATGAGAATAGTGCCGGCCATGAAGCCTGCTCTATCAAGTGAATGTGATGGATTCAACTTCCCACTCAACAATTTTAATTCAAATTAAGAATATTTGGATCTTTACTTGGGTAGGTGAATACTTTTCCTAATGTGGGTAGGCAAGGTTATAAGATGACATGCATCATGATTGACCTAACTCGGCGTGGCAAAAATCAAGAGTAGTACTCTTAAAAGTAACTTGAGTGATAATAGGAATAAATTGTAAATTTAGATGTCTTGAGTTCAAATTTTAGTAATTTCTTAGGCTCAAATCATGAGAGATTTATCCCTCATGAATACCAACGAGCCCAAATCCAACTATGCCTAAGCTCAATTCATTAGTTAAGCTCAAATCATCAAAAGATTGGTCCGGCTTAGCTCGTGGCCTCATTCTAGTATAAATCCCAAGAGTTCAGGAAGAGTCAACGCACGTATGAGAGTAATCATCGGGATTATCATTACTCTAAGATAGTGTCTATCCCCAATTGTAGTTATCTTTCCCGATAAATTAGTAGTTTGACCTTCACGTCACCTTCTCAGCTAAGGCTTTGTGCCTATAAATTGTAAATCCCCTACACATGGGGTAGAACACACATCTCACCTTTGAGTGTACTCTTGCTCTCTCTCCCTCCTACTATTTTGTACTCTCTTTCTAATAGAATTCTTTGGCCACCGTTATCGCATTTAATGGTTCGGTCACTTAGACCCAACCACCTAATCTTTTATCTCTTA